ACATGTAGGAAAGAAATTAAGCTCATGAATATTCACAATATTGACTGACTCTGGCGCCCCCCGACATGGTCTGATATGAGGTAGTTAGGATACCCAGGGTGTCCTGAGAGCAACCCCAGCAGCTCAGGGTTGTTTTCACCCGTTCATGTGCTTTGGGTGTATTGCAATTCAGTGCACCTTCTTAATTACAAATGCCTGGTTTTAACTCAACAAATCCTCTCCACACTGGCAAATTTTAAAAGGTTCTCCCAAACAAAGAAGATACTAAAATGCAAGTTAAAATGAACATTTTCAGAGCTGTCAGTTCTCCGAGTTCAAGTAGAAGCTATTTGCAAACCCTGGAGTTGAGTTTTTGCAGTAGAGCTAAAAACTGGCATGGCTCTCCTTTTCGGTGGGGAAATCTCCTGGATCACACTTCACTTATACTCTATTGCTCTATAAAAAAAAATTATTGTTTTGCACTCTTATCCCATAAATGGTTTTCTTTCTGGCCCAGAGCTCCCCTTGAGGCCCAGCCTCACCAGCAGCTTGATTGTGCAATCGTCTCTGGTTCTGCCATCTCTTTTTAACTCTGAGCAGTTGCCAAACATCTTACGCTTTTGTTTTGTGCTCATAATTGTCGGGGTCACTCTCTTTTCCAGATCTGGGGATATTGATCTGATATTGATAACAGAGCAACATCAAAACCAGAGGCTCCTTGTACTTCTGAAAGCTCCTTCCCGTGTTTGTTCGTGTGTTCCCCCACTTCGGAAAGGCTGTCATTCAGAACCTGGGCTCTGAAGCCACCAGCTTGGGCTTGAATGCCAGCTTTGCCACTTCCTTGGCCGTGCTCCTGGGACAAGTGATTTAACCCTTCTGAGCCTCCTCTTGTTTGGCAGTAATGACAACGTCTTTTCCACCAGAGAACATTGAATGAGACTGTGGATTAGAAAATGTTCAATATGGTGCCTGACTTCACAGAGAGGACTTGACAGGTCCTAGCTGTTCTATGATTTTCATTATATACCCACTGCCAGTCTGTGCCACCTGCTTCACTGAGGTGCTTTTTCCTATTGAATCATCAAAAATGTATTGAGCACCTTCTCTCTGCCAGGCATCATGATAGAGGCTGGAGATGCAGGGAGGAAAAGCCATGGTCTCAGCTCTCCAGGAACTTGTAGGCTAACAAGTGAGGTCAGCCTAACTCAGTCCGGAGGTGACCCTGGGAAGAGGCACATGGGGCAGGTTTCCTTCCAGGCCTGTTTATTTTCTAGGCGGACTCCAGGGGACTGGCCCTCTGGCCAGGCCAAGAGAGGGGAGAAGAAGTGAAAGAGAAGGACCCAGCCACAGGTTCCCTGGGTGGTGGAGTGTATGGTTTCTAGGGGAGAAGCAGGTGGCAGGAGCCTGCAGACACTGTGAGACCCCATTGTGGAAGGGCTTCTACCGAAAGCTGTTCTATGCCCAAGGAACGTGGACTTGAATGGCAACATGGAGGCACTATTGGAGATAAAGTGGCTTTTAATTTGGGGACTGGCGATCGGTGGGAGCGGTTTCAGCAGTATCATTCCGGTCACCTCAGGACCAAGGCCAATAAGGGAGAGAAGATGCAGTGAGACCAGTTAACATAACCAAGCCTGGGGGTGGGCTGTGAGTGCCGGTGGAGGAACAGGTAAAGGAAGGAACCAGTGCCCTGGTTCCTGTCTGTTCTCTCCCCCAGCTAGCCTTTCTGTTTTTAATTTACAGTGAACAAGACACTCAAGGCCCATTCATGGGCTGAAATGGAAAGTGACTGGTAGAACCTTGACCGTCACCCCTCAAATTACCCCCCGTGTCTCTTCAGAAAACACCAAGGAAGGCCCTGCCTTGTTCACAGAAAAGCCCTTGAGGTAGGGGCATAGGCGTTGGGGCAGAATTCCCAGGTGGGAAGAAGTGGCTAGGTTGGTGGCCCCAAGTACGTCTCCTGCCCTTCCTCTTCCAGTGGGTTATTCTCTCCTGGGTGACCTAGTCTTGGACACAGACCTCCTTCCCTGGTTTTTTTACCCCAGCAGAGATGGGCTGGTTCCAAAAGAACCTCCCCAGGTAATGAAGGAGAACAAAAGGGGAAAGAATGTGAAAGCACAGACTGACCGAGTTTCCAGATCCATGTATCAGAGACGTTCCTGACAATGCCAGTCACCAGTCCACTTCCAAGGGCTGAGCAGTCCTTGCTCATGCACTGTTCCTGACCTTGACCACCTTTGCCCCACTCCACCTTCTTCACCATGACTACACACCAGCCATCAGTTTTTCTTCTTGCTAGATGTAGGAGTTGCCCATTGCATAACCAATACTCCTTCGCCGGCAAAGTCTCTGCTCCCGCCTTGCCACCAGGCCGGGGGTCCATCCATACTCAGCCTCACAGGTTGGACTGTGCTGAGGCAGGCCCCAGGAAGCCAGCTCCCTTCAGGAAACCCCCCATTACCTGTACAGTCACCAACAACCAAGCAACAACCACTCATCCCTACATAGGAAGATCTTTGTCTCTTATAAGGTTATTTGGCACCACTGGATAGCTGGGGGTGAGGGGGTGTTAGGGAATTATTTATTTATTTTTTTAAACTGTGATTGACCAAGATTTCAGAGTACTTTATGGTAAGAAAGGCTTTTATCATGCAACAGGGTAGAAATTTCTTTCCGTAACTTCCTCTTCGGACGCAGAGATAAAGAAAGCAGTGGAGGTAGAATCATGAATGAGAGACCACATGGGAGGCTGGTGAATTTTTGCAAGGCCCCCCTTTCAGTACAGGGGTGTGGGCACAGCAAACACTGGAAATATGGCTGGAGAGGACTTCCCATGAATATCTGAGGAGTTTGTTCAAGGAGAAATGACACGTCTGGGATGGGTGAGCACGACTTGGGTCAGCTTGGACCAACTTGGGCCACTGAAGGAGGATCAGTGGATTGTGCAGAAGAGCTGAAGAAGAGGAACCTGACAGGCTTCTCTCAAGTGCCTCATTGAAAAATGTTGACTGGAAAACATATATAGGTGCCTAAGGTGAGAATTACGAACTCTTCATCCCACTTCTGTGGGCTTAGGTCCAAGAGTTCCTTCTTGCTGTCTCTCTAACTTGCCTGGTGGAAATGACTTCCGTGGGGCAGCCCTGAAAAGCACCTGGGCCAAATAACAATTGCATCCAAGCATTTGGTTTCCAGAAGCTGGGGACCAGGTGATCAGCTTCAGATAAAGGGGGTTTGGTTCTTGGATAGAAGCCTGTTCCTATTTGGGCTTGGGGAGCAAGAGTGGCAAGATACGCCAGGTGGTTGTGTACACACCTTACCTTTCCTCTTTTTTTTCTGCACAACTGGTCATCCTCTTGTCTGGCTGTTCCTCAAATAGGTCTGACACAGGCCAGTGCAAGTGAGAAGACGTGTGAGACTTTTCTGGGGGTATAAGCTGCAAAGGAGAGATGGAGGCTCTGCAGTGCAGCTCCTTGGACATGCTGAGCGTTTGCTTTCCTGAGCGGGGATTCTTTGCTTGTCCCTTTGACAAAGGATCCTCGATGCAAAAGCTGGGTACCAGCTGTGCTCAGCAATGAGTCTACACAGTCCGCTGAATTCTCGGTGCTTGCTAGTATGCATCAAGAAGGAATAAGTTCTGGCTAAGGTTAGGGGGCTGTTACCAAAATCTAATTCTTATTCCTCTGCTCCCCCTGTGTGTGTGTCTTTATCATGGGATCTTTCTGGGAGGAAAGCGGAAAGCAAGAGTATCATGTAGTCAGTGTTTCCAGCTCCTCCCCCACCCACCCACTCTCATCCAGTGCCTGAATGAATGGATTCTGAATTGTAATCTCATCTTGAGCCTCGGTTATGCTACTCACGCCACCTTCTACTGTTCAATCCATCTTTTTGGTTAGAGTCCCTGGCTCTGTACTTCCTCTTGGCCTATCTCACTTCCTGAAACACCCTGAAGAGGGTTGCTTATCTTGATGGGGCTCCAAAAGCCCAGGGAGGGGGTGGCGGCAGAAGAAGGCACAGGCCTTGAGTGTGTCCTGTCTCAGGAACTAAGAACAGCAACACTTTCGGATTCAGTACACAATGAACTGTCCTCCGGGTTTCTGGGAGATCAAGGATGTGTGGCCCACAAAGGGGCTTGGAACCGGTCATCCTGTGATGGGTTCTGTCTAAGGAGAGGGTCTCCAAGAGATTGCCCCACCACGGAAGAGGAGCAGCGAGTGAGTTTTGAGTTTCAGACTTGCTGCCTGTGGACTTCCAGGAAGATGTCTGGCAAGAGCTAGGTTCACTCGCTGCGAATCCTGCTAGATAGGAAGCCTGCTGGCCCACAGGTCACCTGGGAGGTCCCTCTGGGAGAGGATGATGTCTGACAACAGCACTACCCTGCCATGGGTCACGATTCCTTACATCGCCTTGGAGGTTTTTATCGGACTCTGCGCCATGGTGGGCAATATACTGGTCATCTGGGTGGTCAAGCTGAACCCCAGTCTGAGGACCACCACCTTTTTTTTCATTGTCTCCCTAGCCCTGGCTGACATTGCAGTTGGGGTGCTGGTCATCCCTTTGGCCATTGTCATCAGCCTGGACATCCCAATGCACTTCTACAGCTGTCTTTTCATGTCCTGCGTGCTGCTGATCTTCACCCATGCCTCTATCATGTCCTTGCTGGCCATTGCTGTGGACCGATACCTGCGGGTCAAGCTCACTGTCAGGTAACCTGCTTGAAGAGGGATGGGATGCTGCAGGGGTCTGGGTTCAAATCTCTGACCTTGCCATCTGACCTTGGGCATGTTATTTAACTTTCTCAATTTCTGTTTCTTCATCTTGGTCAAGGGGCTACAAAGTTCAGATTGCAGGCTTTTCCAGTGAAAGTGAATTCAAATTAGCCTTTGACGTTGATAGAAGACAACAAATGTCTTCTCACTATATGGTGAGAGTTTGTGAGATTTTAGCAATGATGAGCTGAGACTTATCATTGAGAAACAGGAATGTTTTCAGAGGAATGCTCTAAGCCCTTCTCCACTGACCCTGGGTGTGTGTGTTCAGTCCCCAGAGGAGCTAAAAATAAAATAAAAAAAAGTTTGGTGCATCTTTAATAGAAAATGCTGTTGAGTTTTAGAAATGAGAAAAACCTACAGCAAAGATGTTTTAGGAGAAATTGGAATAATTGGAATAAGAGGAAGACAAACAGAAGGTTGTGTTGCTTTGCAAATGTAGGCTAGTATTTTAACTTTGCTTCCTATTCTCTGCCTGCCACGATGTTGAGAAAGGGGTTCTTAGAATGTATATTTTCTTTTTCTTCTTCTTGGGAGGTACGAGAGCTTTCCCCCTCCAAAAAAAGTTCTTCTTTGTACAAAGAGCCTGTGACTGTGTGAGGAGAACACATTGCTAAGTGGAGAAATTGAATTCCCCACGTGTCCTAATTGCATTGGTCTTGGGAGAGAGCCTGGTGAGGGAGCTTGCAAAGCTTTGGAGGTAAACAAGTCTGGGTTCAAATCTCTGACCTTGCAATCTGACCTTGGGCATGTTATTTAACTTTCTCAATTTCCGTTTCCTCGTCTGTATCATAAGATGATGCTCTGATTAAGATGCGCTGAGCCAGACTCATCTCCTTTCAATCGCAAGTCCACCATTTCCAGCTTGCTTATGTCACTTGTCTGTGATTCCTTTTATTTTTTTTTCACCTATAAAATGGGAATAATAATTGCACCTTCCTCATCAGATTCAATGTGGTAACCCATTCGAAGTCCTTGGAAAATTCCTGTTCCATAGACTGTGCTCAATAAATGGTAGCTACAATTACTCTTCTTTTCACCATCGCCATCCATGAAATGGAGATTATCATAAACACATCTCCAGTTGGTTGTGAGTGTTAATTGAAGTAAAGTCTACTGAGTAGATAGCACTTAATCTACATAGACTCTTGCAGTCTGTGTAGATTGCTACCAAGAGGGACATTTCAAGGGGGAAATGGGGACTCCCTGGATGAGACTGGTAAGGGCTCTAAAGCACTTCAACATGACCATGGCGACTATTCTATGTCTGCCACGATGTTGAGAAAGGGGTTCGTAGAATGTATATTTTCTCTTTCTTCTTTTTGGGAGGTACAAGAGCTCCCCCACCCAAAAAAAAGGTTCTCCTTTGTGCAAAGAACATGTGACTACGTGAGAATAGACTGCTAAGTGGAGACATTGAATTCCCCACGTGTCCTAATTGCCTTGGTCTGTGATTCTTCTCTCTTCTCTTGGGGAGAGAGCCTGGTATGGATGTCTCTGCAGATAGACATACAGGGGCAGATTCAGGGAGAGGGAAGGGAGGGAGAGGCGTAGTGTAATTTATGAGCCTCTGCACAGTAGCCAGGTAGGTGATCCATGGAGACTTCGATCCATCTTACACGCTAGGCATTGAAGAATTCCTGAGCTGCAAATGGAGCCGTGACTGGAGTGTGCAGACCCCCGACTCTAGACAGCATATCCCTGACCCATTCTAAACTGTTGTTCTTTAGAGAAGTGCCGCTGAATTGTTCTCTAATCAGCGTCTGCTCGTCTCGTCTTAGAATCACCATAGATTATCAGAGCTCTCCTCTTTTAACAGAAGATTGGGGAATCGAGAGGGTGTGCGCTGGGTTCCCCCCACCTCACCTCCTCCACTGTCTCCATAATTCCTGCTGTGAATTCACTGGTTCTTTTCCATTCGAACAGATACAGGAGGGTCACCACTCAAAGAAGAATATGGCTGGCTCTGGGTCTTTGTTGGCTGGTGTCCTTGCTGGTGGGATTGACCCCCATGCTTGGCTGGAATGGGAAGCAAACCTCAAGGTACCCCCAGAATGACACCTTGCTTCCGTGCTGTTTCCGTTCTGTCATGAGCATGGAGTACATGGTCTTCTTCAGCTTCTTTACCTGGATCTTCATCCCTCTGATCATCATGTGCACCATCTATATGGACATCTTCTACATCATCCGGAACAAACTCAATCAGAGCTTTTCTGGCTCCAAAGAGACAAGTTTGTATTATGGCCGGGAGTTCAAGACAGCCAGGTCCCTGTTTCTGGTTCTCTTCTGGTTCGCTCTGTGCTGGCTGCCTTTGTCCTTCATTAACTGTATTTTGTACTTTAATGTTGAGGTGCCGGAGTATGTGATGCTCCTGAGCATCCTGCTGTCCCACGCGAACTCCATGATGAACCCCATCATCTATGCTTGCAAAATCAGGAAGTTCAAGGAAACCTACCTTTTGATCCTCAAAACCTGTAGAGTCTGCCAGTCCTCTGATCCCACCAACCCAGGCACTGAGCAGATTTCTGGGTAGTTGTCCAGGAAAGATGCCTCTGTCTCATGGACCTTTGGATTCAGCATCAACACCGTGGGCCTGCGCTTCTAACCAGGCACCCTCGATTCCTTCGCTAGGTCGGGAGCCCAGTGAAGGCAAGTTACCTGCCAATGAGACCATCACTACTACCCTCTTCCTCCACTCCATTATTTTTTCCTTGTTCTTCTCTAATTCAATTTCCTGGAGGCCCGACTTGAGGGATCGTGTGTTAATGACTGTGTTCCTCCTTCCCAAACAGAAGGAGTCGTGGAACTGGAAGGGTGTCTGCTTGACTTACTGACAGGAGGTTCTAACTGGGATGGACACCTATGTGATGCTGTCTGAGTTCTAGAAGAGAACCTGCTCTCAGAAGATTCCCAGGAGAGGGTGGGAACAGGAGGAGTGAATTGAGCTGAAGGGGGCGGGGTCATACACTGCTGAATTCACCTGGAGATGTATTTGTGTAAATAAAAGATGATCGCTAACTGTTGTATGGCTCTTTGCTGGTCAGTTGGGGCTTGAAGACCCAGCCGGCTGCTTGGGCCATTCAGCCTGCTGGTTATGGTTACCTGGAGCTAGATGGCATGCTCACCTTCTTACCAGTTTCCCCAGGACACCCTGCTCCTGATTCCTGGGCTGATCAGAGCACTTGCCAACTTTATAATCTATTCACCTATTGTTCGAGAAAGAGCCCCGATCTTTTCCTCTGGCATTTCATTCTAAGAGGAGTAGTGGGTGCAGGGCAAAAAGAGACAACCAACAGTTTATTCACTGAATACTTTCTCTGCATCCAGCATTCCGTGTGCACAGTCTCCTTTGGTCCCAACAATCTGTGAGGTAGGTACTGCAACCATTTTTTATCTCCTTTTCACAGAAAAAACAGACTGATGCAACAGAGAAGTTAAGTAACTTGCCTGTGATTCACACGATGAACAAGTAGTGGATTTAAGCTCAGACCTGCCCTAGGGGAAAAATCCAAGCTTCCTGCCATCTATTCTCAGACACTAAGGAAGCGCTGATAACTTCAAATCCAAACTCTCAAGCTCACCTTATGTACAATTAACAGATGGATGGGTTCAAGCTACAGTGTGTGTGTGTGTGTGTGTGTGTGTGTATGACAATTGGTGGAGGTTTTGCCTTAGCTACTTTTGCTGATCTTTAATTAATCAGGATATTGACAGGACAGATGTCACTCATTATTGTTCCCACATTGAGTGTGGCTCCAGGCATTCCAGGAGCCTCCAGGCATCTCTGGTTTGGCCTCCAAATCTGCAGCTGTGTGTGGACGCTCACTCCAAGTGTATTAACTTGACAAGTGCAGCAGGATGAAGGTTCCAATTAAACCAAGAGCATAGGGTATCTTAGCCATTCCTGGAAATATTTCCTAAACCTAATCTTGGGCCAGAGCCTGGTAACCAAATTTATCTTGTTAACATTGCCATTTTAGCAAAGGGTCCTTATTTCTCTTTCTTATTTCTTCCAGAAAAGGCCAGGAAGTATCAAGTTTGAACTTTACCCCTTTCTTAATTTTTGGTTTTAGTTAATGAACATCCCCAGATAGAGGTCCTGAGTTTATAAACTCTACCCTGTTGGAGAATGAAGGGGAAGTGCTGTCAAGCTCTGTTTCCTGGTAATCTTCACACTATGACTCTTAATTGACTCTCTAACCCAGTTGCTATAGCAACATATAGCCCCTGCCCGCCCTTTATTTTTTGGAAACTTGATTTAAAGTCACTACTTCCCTCAAGTCAGAGCACCTAACTGTCCTGGTTGTTTGATATCATTGGACGAGCCATAGTTCCTGGGTTTCAGAACTGCTTTTTTTGTTGTTGTTGTTTTTAATACCTTTATTTATTTTTTTATGAGGTGCTGAGAATCAAACCCAGGGCCTCACAGATGCAAGGCAAGCGCTCTAACCACTGAGCCCCAGCCCTCAAAACTGCTTTTATTTTTTTCTCTCCCTTCCCCTTTTCTACCCTGCATTTCTCCCCTGAACCCCTGATTGCCACAACAGCTTGCATTTTTTTGCCAAATAGGAATCTCTTGAAATAAGGTGTTGCACTAGCCCAGAGGAAGCCCTTAGAGAGAAAATATCCTTTTTAGAGTAAACTCAAAAAGACGAACCAAAAATCATCGGTGAGGAGGTTGGTTAGACATAGGGAGAGCCACCCTGGTTTCAGGTTTAGAGATTAGTGTCACGGGAGTCTCCTGTGGGTCCTTGTGCAGCCAGATAGGAAAGGGTAGCTGTGGGCTTCTATTCTAAGAGAGTCGGTTAAAGGACCACCCAGATAAAACTGAGATTTGCTCCCATCTTCTCCATGGGAAGCATCTAGAACGAAGGTGAACGTTGAGTAACTGGGTTTGCTTACCTTTTAAAATTATTATTTTATTGAGTCGAGGGTGAAAATAAACAAAGACCCGCTTAGTGAGAAGAAGCAAAGTCTATGTATTCTAAGCTTGCTGTAGCAAAGAAGCTGACCACCATCGCTAGCCTTTGGAAAATGCTCACAGGCAGGCAGAGGAGTGGGAAGGCTAAAGGATAAAGATAAACACTATAAAATTTTAATGAGCTTATCTGAGCATTCAACAATTCATGAACTGGGCAGCACTAGTCTGCAAGTAGTTGAGGACGACCCTGAGAAGAGGGGTCGGGGTGGGGGAACTTTTAGAAGGCATTTGCGGAAGCAAGACAAATAGATTTGTACATTATTTGTATAACTGATCAAGTGAATTTTGATTTGATGTATTTATCGAAGTCCCACATTAGAGGCCAGTTGGGTGGTTTCTGATTAAAATTAAGTGCTGTTTTATGGTTTTACACTGAGTTGGTTTCAACTTGACTATGGAGAAACTCAGGGTATTGAAGCCACTGAAGTCCAGGTAACCTTTTTTTAACAGAGGAAAAAAGGAAAGACTTCAACTGCGTCCTGATTGGAAGGTGTTAGGATGGGGAACTTGTAGGCTAATTGAAGTGGGGGCATTTTGTATGATTGGTTGAGGGTGCACATCTGTTTGGTCCTAAGTTGGAAGCTGGGACAAAAATTGGGGAATGGCTGGGCGCAGTGGGGCATGCCTGTAGTCTCAGCAGCTCGGGAGGCAGAGGCAGGAGGATTGTGAGTTCAAAGCCAGCCTCGGCAACTTAGTGAGGCCCTCAGCAAGCTGGTGAGACCCTGTCTCTAAATAAAATACAAAAAGGGCTGGGGATGTGGCTTGGTGGTTAAGTGCCCCTGGATTCAATCCCTAGTACAAAAAAAAAAAAATGGGATGACATCACTTATTAATTAACTCCTAGCAATTTGGGGGGGATTGTTATAGGGTTTATTTTTGGCTTCCTAAATTGTCACTAGAGATAATAATCTGATTTCCTTTAAGCCTAACTTAGCACAGACTGGTTTATTGTGTATTGTAGATAAGCTGTTGGCTTCTTGAGCGGGTTGCTGGAGGTTATGAGTCAGATTTCTGTTTTTATATGGTCTCACCATTGTCTGTATTCAGTTTCTTACAACTAAGTGCACATTTTCTGCAGAAACTCTGCCTTTAAATACTAGAGCTGAGTGGAAGGAATAAGAAAGTTTGGGCCACATCTTGCCCCAGTCACTCGGATGACACAGTATGTAAAGTCTTTTAGTAAACTCTAAAGTGCTCCACAACTTTATGTATTGCTGCAATTGGGGAAGCAAGTATACTATAATGGAAAGAGGAATTTTCTTTTTTCTTTTTACTTGTTGCCCTTATCCTCCCCAGATGTAGCATCAGATCCCAGTGGCTTTACTGGGTATGTGAACTCGGGCAGGCTCCTTAAATTTCTAAACCTCCGTTTTCCTCATTTGACACTCAAGTCAAAGTGTTTTCGTTTTTTACTTTTTAATATACAAACTTGAGTAACTACAATAATGAGTCTCAAATATCCGTTATCCTGCTTCAAAAATGATCAATTTATGGTCAACCTGGTCTCATTTGTAGCCACACCCACTTTCCTTACTCTATTGTCCTGACATGAAATGATTTCATCTGTAAACATTTTGGGTTTTTGCATTTATTTATTAAAGATGTTTTGAAGTTTTCACTCAGCGTATTCTTAGTTCCCATTTGCCTTCTTATTGACACATCTAAATAGAATAGAAATTAATTCTACCCTGCAGGTAGAGCAGTGGAACTCGTAACAACAAACTATACTCAGCAGGCTAGGACACACATCGGTCATTCTCTGTAACTCTAGCCCTTTCATTTGCTTTACGTGTGACATTGTCACATCTTGGGCGTTTTGCTGTTACCTATCTGCGCATAATCTGTTTCTCTTTCTGCCAGCATTTTCTTTGGTTTCACAGTAACATTTCTGAGCAATATTGAGCAATAGAGCTTTGACAGAGGAAAGAATTGCTTTTAAAAAATAGGACTATGTGGGGCTGGGGATATAGCTCAGTTGGTGGAGTGCTTGCTTTGCATGCACAAGGCCGTGGGTTCAATCCCCAGCACCACACACACACACACACACACACACACACACACACACAATAGGACTACAATATCTCTGCTAATTATTCACTGTAGCATGAAGGATTATCCCCAAATTTAAAGATTTATGACAATTATATCTTGTGCTGTCCTATCCATGAGTCAGGAATTCAAGGGATATTTTGGTTAGATGGTTCATGCTCCTGGTCTCTCATGAGGTTACTGGGTCTACAGTCATCTGAAGGCTTGATTGTGGCTGAAGGATCTGTTTACAAGGTGGCTCTCACATGCCTGGCAGATTGGCTTTTTTCCACCTGAGCTTCTCTATAGCCTGTTTGGTCCTCAGAACCATGGTGGTTGACTTCCCCAAGAGAGGTCAGCATAAGAGACTAAGGTAGAAGTTGCAAACCTCTTATGATCTAGCATCTAAAGCGTACACCATAATGTCTGCCATGTTTTGTGCTCACACAGACCAGCCTGAATGATCAATTTCAGAGTGACCATACATGGGCATGTACACCGGGAGCCATCTTGAAGGCTGGCTATTATAATACCACGATCACATCTGAAACAAAATTAATAATTATTTCTTAATATTTCTTATCCGTATCAGCTACCTAATGTCCTGAATTATTTTCAAACAAGATGCAAATAAGTATTTGTCCCTGTGTCTCTTTAATCCAGTTTAATCTATGGGTTCTCTTTCTCTTCCTTCCACCCCCCAACCCCCCATGCAATTTGTTTGTCAAACTCCTAGAGGTTTTTGTAGGAATAAATGAATTAATGTAGGCAAAACACCTACCACGATACAAGCTTACTGCTGGCCCAGATGCTGAGTTCCTGTGTGTTAGAGGAAGGCTCTCCTTTCTTGAGGGAAGACATTATTGCATGATCTAGAAAACCATCCACATCCGGCCCTTGGTGGGAGTGCCAGCTCTGGAGTGTGATAAGTAGCAACCAGCTTCAAGAAATTAAAGGTGGCTCAAGGAGTCAAACTTAAAATGAGTGGCCAGAGGATGAGTCCCCATTAGGAATCAGAGGAAGCTGCTGCCGTTGCTGCTGCTTCATGGACAGACCTCCCTGATTTGTCCTGGCTCTATCTAGGAAAGCTCTCAAGAATTCTGGAGACTGCTGCCCTGGCTGCTGACACCAAAATACTCACCCCTCTGCCTGCTACCGTGTTGCAGATTCAGACACTACTGCTCCCGAGAGCTGGCATGCTCCACTCCTAACCACATTCCCCAGGTGAGCCGGCAGCATTCCCCTGGGAGTTAGGCTAGTTAGGAATTTTGCTGGGATTTCACCCCGCCCCCCCAATCTGGATAGGCATTTGGTCTCAGGAGTGGTGAAGGGGCAAAAGCAGTGGCCTCTGATAATACCCAGAGCATTAGCAAGACAGGGTGTGGTTGCACACCTAATGTGTGCCAGCAGCGACGTGTGTGTCTTCTGAGTGTTCTTCAAAGTGCCATGTGCCAGAGTGGGTTTATCCAGGAGGGGTGTCTCCATGGCTATTCTTGGCTCTGCTGGGAAGCCCAGAATATTCTTAGTTGCCCCATAAATAATAAGTTTGTGTTGGTAAATGTCATCCCTCTGATGAGGTGCCATGGTTCAGTGGACAGTCGGGCTAGCTGTACATACCAGGACTGCTTGCAATAACCTGTGGTTCCCACTTTTCACTGATCTCTCCAAAGAGGGGTAAAACTCTTAAGCCCAAACACACCTGTTTTTCTTGAACAGATCCAGAAATTCCTGAGGTCCCTGGGTTCTTCCTGTGGTTCCAGTCGAAGGTCCAGTCATGGGGCTCTTCATCCTGCTCTCCTGGGCTCTTCTTTCAGGTAAGACGAGAGGAAGGAGCACCTCTGCCCTCCAGGTTGTGACCTTCCTGGAGACTTTGCATTTTCTTCTCTCTTCCTGTTTGGAGTTCCTGCTTATCAGCTCGAGCCACCTAAATGAGTGGGGAAATGAAAGGTGAAAACAGGTCTTGTCTCTATTAATTCTCGAACCTTCCTTTGATAGGAGGATTGTGGGGAGCTTGGAACCCTTGGTTAAAATGAGGGCTCTGTTTTTTCTCTTTTAGTTGACCCAAATTCCCCTTCCCTTCCTTTTTTTTCCCCCTCAAAAATATCTGTGCAGATATGTGTCCACACTACTTTTTCCTTCTGCCTATGCCTGACACCAAAGATGAGACTCACTCAGAGCATGGGTTGTGCCCTGCTGGGTCACCCCTCAGCAGTGTCACCTTTGGAGTTGCTGCATTGGTCTCTGGGTCAATGTCAGTGTGACACCCCCACCCCCACTCCAAGGATCATGTGATCTTCCCTGTGGGTTTTTTTAGGAGAACAAATGACATCTAGGATGTGAGCATGCTTTGCAGGTTGGTGACACCCCAAGCCTAGCACACAGTCGATGGAGGGCTGAGAGGGATGAGCTCTGCCGTGCCATCTCTTTTCTTTGCTGGACCTGTTGTGCATGAGTTCCTCAGTAGGCAATATCCTGACGTGATAGAGGTGTCCATGGCCAGTCTTGCACGGAGGAGATGGTAAACTCCTGGCTCAGAACCTGAGCCCCTCTGTCTTTAGCTCTATGCAGCCAGCAGAAGCCTCCCACAATTTTCACTTTCTATCTGAGGCTGCCAAGGTAGGGTGGGTAGCCAGGGACAGAGGGTGTGCTGACAGTGAACCTCCAGCTCTTCCAGGCTCCCCACCAGGCCATGGCAAGAGGCCTCAGGTGCACTGTCCCTTAGACCAGGAATAGAGACTTCTCTGGGGTTGCCATGTTGGTTTCCTAGGGTGGCCATAACAGAATACCACAGTCTATCACTTAAACAACAGAAATGTATTTCCTCACAGGTATGGAGGGTAGAAAGAAGACCAAGACCAAGGTGCCTGCAGATGTGGTTTCATTCTGATGCCTTTCTCCTTGGCTCATAGTAGGCTATCCTCTTGCTGTGACTCCAGATGGTCATCCCTCTTTCCATATCTTAATCTCTTATTCACTTAATAAGGATGCTGACCATATTGGATTAAGGACAACCTCCTGTGATCCTACTTTAACTTGATTACCTCTTTTAAAGACCTCTGTCCAAAGATATTCTATAACCAGTTTTAGCAGGACACAGCTCAGCCCATAACAGCTGTCTACCGAAAACAGGCAATAAAAACCAGCCTCCAATTCTTTAATTATCTTTCAGGTAGACAGGCGGGGAGAAACTGCAGCATGCTTGAAAGAATAACAGTGTGTGTGTGTGTGTGTGTGTGTGTGTGTCTTCACAGATGCCATGGTCATGGACAAAAAAGTGAAGGAAAGCTTCGTGCTAGGCACAGCTTCTGCCAGCTGCAATTACGACGCCCACTATAAGCATCATACCAAATATTGGTGCAGAGGCTATTTCCGGGATTACTGCCACATCATTGCTTTGACCCCCAACAGCACGGACCGTGTGGCCCTGAAGGACACAGGAAGCCAATTCATCATCACTGTGTTCTGCCTGACCAAGGAAGACACGGGCTGGTACTGGTGTGGCATCCAGCGAGACTTTGCCAGGGATGACATGGATTTTACAGAGCTGATTGTGACTGACAGCAGAGGAGGCCAGGCCAACGAGTTTTGGTCTGGAAAAGGTAGAGGCTGTCAGGGGTTTTACTTGGGTAACCCAGGGTGCTGTGCATTTGTCCGTGTGGTAAAAACTCAGAAGATGGGAGTACCAACTCAGGCTCTCCCCTGGTTCTCTGGGGGTGACATGGTCTCTCCCTCCAAGGTATGGTAGTCATGCATGGTGCAGGGATTAATTGGGAGTCTGGGGAAAGTGAGTGTGTCTGGTCCCTGGGACCACTGTCCACTGTTGGAACATCCCTCTCCTTGTGGCAATCCGGTTGATAGGCCTTGGAAGAGGCTAGTTGGAGGCTAGATCTCACAGGTGTGAGATCTCTGTGTTGATGGTCAGCTTCCTGCCCTGAAGAGTCACACAGGGTGCAAAATGTGAATTGTCAACTTAAATAATTTTAATAATCTACATGGATAAATATTGTGGTCAAACTGGTCAGTATTTGCTTTTACTTATAAGGAATGCAGTCTCTGCTCAGAGGTCATGGGGAGAGTGTGGTGGGGACCGGAACATATAGGGCCAACTACAATGGAGCCAGTCCATTGCAGCTTTTGGCCAGAGCTAAGACACGGGGCTCTGCAGATGCTCACTCATAAACTCCTGCTGAATGCTAGAAACCTCTTTTTGCACCTGAAGGCCTTTGTGTTTCGGGAGGGGGCTTCTTATTGTTTTCAGTTCTAGAAGTAAAGACTTGATCACAATCTGGAGCACAAGGACAGTAGGAAAACAGACCAGAGGACTTAAGGGATCCCCACCCTACCCATCCCTGGGCTGGAAAGAGATCCTTGTTTACACTTGACCTACTGGTGCTTGACCTTGACCTGGTGTGGTGTCATTCACTGCCACTATCTTCTGCTTTGTGTGCTTCTGCTTTCACTGTAGAGCATGTCCTGAGTTTGAAGCTCAGGATGAGAGAGGTCCATCTAAATGTGTTCCTCAGTGTAGATAAACATGCCCCTTCCAGATCTTTTCAGAGGAGGCAATGTGGTGACTGTGGTGGGACTTCTCCCACTGAGTTCTTTGTGGTTGTCAGAAGCATGTGACAGTTACATCGCCTACTGATCTGTTCCTTAAGCCCGGGATTGGCCTTCTGGTTGTTCCCACCTATGGGAGCGGCCCTCAGCCTGGGTCTGTTACCGCGGGCCATCTGTAGTCCACATGGGGCCTTCATACAAACCCGGAAAAGGTGCTCAGGAGCATGGGGTCCAGTGACCACGGCCTGGATTCCACTCCCGACCTGTCCCCTCAGTCTTGTTCCCTGTGCAGGGCACATTTATGCAACTGTGCTTGGTGCCTATGCTTTGCTGGAAGTCAATAGGTGCTCGCTCTCTGGAGATTGTGAATGGCAGGTAGAGCTGCCGCTGGAAGGCCCAGGAAGGACCTGGGTATGGGCCTCACTTACTCAGTCATCCTTTCTGATTCAGACTCACCAGGCAACAAGAACAGAAGCTGCAGGGCTTCCAGAATCATCCACAAGGCCGACCGCTCTAGGTGAGACTTAGAAGACAGATGGGCTTGGGAAGGGAGTGGAAGGAAGGGACCCAACAACATAAGTCTGTGAGTGGTTGGTTTGCACTTACTACTTTCCAGGTGCATATTGCTTTCCACCTGAACTACCTATCCTCAATAGGACTATTTGATTTCTTAAAAAAAGAATAAATTAATTACAAAAAAACCCACAGAGCTCTTGCCTAACATGTACAAGGTCATAGGTTCAATCTCTAGTACCTCAAAAGAAAAAAAAAATATATAAATAGTTTAGGACTCTTGTTTAAAAGCAGCAAAAATTGAACTTAGTGGGAGTTTAATTTAAATTTTAATTTAACTCGGGGTGGGGGTGGGGGGGGTGGGACATTTATTTTAAGGACTGAGCAGTGTCTCAAATGCTGGTTCTGGGATGAGGCCACCTCTGAAATTGCCAGGAGGATCTGCAGACTTCATCTCCCCTTGTAATCTGCTACTCATATATATTTTTGCTTCTTTTTCTCTCTGTTCTGATCTTTGATATTTCCTTTATTGCCCCCTCCTTCTTCTTCTGCCACACAATAAGACATCTTGATCTATCCCTCTCCGTTCATGAGATTGGCCAATTTGAGACTTCATCTTCCTATTCCCAGCTCCCAGTTGATTTCTGAGGAAGGGGCTCACTGGCCCAGCCTGATCAGATGTCCACTAGGTCTATGCATGTGTGGTCCACGGGACAGGGTCACTCTAAAGTTCCCAGGAGCTGGGTTGAGAGTGGCGGTTGCAGATCTCAGAAAAGGGCGAAACGGAGTAGAAAACCAAATGGTGATTCCTTCCAAGGGATGTGAAATTGGCTCTAATTCCTTCCAGGATGTCCATCCTTATCATTTGCGTACTGCTTACCAGTTTGGGGATCATCTTTATAATCAGTCATTTGTCCAAGAGAAGGAGAAGTCAAAGGAATAGAAGGGGTAAGTAGCCTTTGGCAGTGGGGATAAGGAAGACAGGAATTAAAGCCCAGGAAAGAGGTCAAGGAGCAGTGTTCAACGAATCAATGTGGCTCCCCTCTTATTGTCTGTGCACCTAGAGACCAAGGTGGCCAGTCCATGGGCTGGGGGAAATATCTGTGTCACGGTGACAAAGATATCATGAGAGGAGGCAGAGGAGCACTGTGGCCTTCTTAGCTGGAGGTGTGTGTAGACAGGGCGGAGGGAAGCCCTGAGACCACCGCAGCGTGCCCTTCCTATCTGGAGGGTCACCTGCTTCCCGAGCACACCAGCTCTTGGTGGCAGCCTTACTCCTTGATTGAAACATTTTGTTTAGGAATTTCTGGATCCGAGGCTCCTCCTGTCAAAGGAAGGAGCTTCTGAGACCCCGGGTGGGCGGGCACAGAGCGGTCTCCCTGAGAAGGGGTGGGGGGGAGAGGACAGTCTCTGGGGTCTTAACCCTAGTCTTGAGGCAAGGAAGTTGCCCTTTAGCTTTGTGTCTCCTGCTCTCTTGGGTGGCTACAGGTAAAGGCCTTGGTAGAGGCCCCCAGAACAGCCAAGCTTCTCCTGTGAATCCCACGTCCTTGGTAAGTTCCATTCTTGATTCTTCTGCTCTGGGTGCTGTGCCCCACAGCGACCTGATCTTCAGGTCTCCCCACTTCCTGAATAGAGAAGAGACGGCGTGATTTGTTCATCTTTCCCTTTGGGGAAGCCTCAGAAACACCAGTGCTGGTCTTAACTGTCTGGAAGATCCTCTAGCCACCATGGGGCGATTCTGCTAAGCTCTGAAGTGCACACCAAGCAAAAAATAACAGATGCAAGTGCCTCTGGCTTTTAAATTTTTTTTTCTTTTTTCTTTTTATGCTCAGACACATGCTAGGCAATGAAGATATAATTATAAATTAGACCCCAACCTCCTCTGGGTACGAGTGTAAAAGGAACATTTCAAGGAAAGAGGGGAAAAAAACAAAACATAACGCGAGACACAGGGTGACACACGAGTCTGTGGCCTGGAGAAGCTGAAATCTCAAGCCAAGGCTGTAAGGACTTGTGCTCTCCCTGGGGTTTTCTGACCTGTGACCAGAGCAGGAGGCCTGAGAAAGCAAAGTGGTAGCTCCCATGGCGTTTCTGGCTGTTAGTCCTCCAGGACTCTGGGATCTGTGGAGGGTGAGGGACATGGGCAAAACAACCAGCGACCACTCCCTCTGCGACACAATCACGATCTATGTTTTTGCAAACCAACTTCTTTGTCACTTCTTTAAGGCATGCCCTTGGGCAGCTCTTTATGTTTTTGAACCTGTTTTCTTCTCTGTAAATTGGAACCCCCATTCCCATACTACCTAGGATTTTCCCTTCATTTCTTCATTCATTCATTCAATGAGAACCATGCTGGATGCTGGATATAATGGTGAGCAAAATAATTAGCACCAGCCTACATGGAGTGGTATAAAATGCGAGGGAGACAAACCACCACCAAAACACACAACTATAAGGTTGTCACTTGGAGTAAGGGGAAACACAGGGTACTATGAAAGGTAACAGTGGAAGCCAGCACTATATGTTTAGGAAGCAGTTGAGCAAGCTGTTGCTGTCAAGGTCTCCTTCCTCCCACTAGGGCAATTAAAATGTGGTAACCTGAAGCAAGGGCCCTGCTACTTTGACATTCTTGGGTTCTGAAGAACCCAGTTGCATTCACATCATCTAAGCTTGGGGGAGGCCAACACAAGCCGCAGGGGCCAAGCTTCCACATTGATTGACCAATGAGTTTTTGCAGTAATAACATCAGATTTCAGCCCTGCAAACCAACTTTGGTCTTAGTCCCCAGGAAGCTCCCATGAGAGAGTTTGCAGTTTTTGCTGCAGAAGCATTCAGGTAGGCAATAGATCTCAACTGAATTTTCCTTTTTCTATTCCCCCAACAAAGTAGGCAACTCTTGGAAGCTCCTCCTGTATGTCCTGACTCCAAAGGAAATGGCTCATACTGAACAGATGTGACTGAAGATTTCTTTTATTTAGTTCATAAATAAAGTGATGATGCTACAATAGTATCACCATGACAACTGGCCCACATCTCGGGGACTGATTCTGATCTCTCAGGCTTTCTGAAGGACTTTCTCAACTCTCCAGCAAACCATTTGTGATGAGTGAACAACGGTGACAGTCAGAAGAGCTGTGGTAGATCACACTGAGCCGGGGCTACAGTCAAACAACATCTCCAGACGTTAGTTCTCCTGCATCTGGGTCAGGGGGTCAGAAAGTCATTTTTATTTGTTATCCAATAAATTTCTGATCCATGTTTAATGAACTCCAGGGTATGACTAACTACTCCTCCTAGGGTATTACTGGAAAAAGTATTTCTTGAAAACGTCCTTAAAATGTGTAATATTCCAGCCGGGCACTGGGGCATATGCCTATAATCCCAGTGACTTGGGAAGTGAAGGCAGGTGGATTCCAAATTCAAAGCCAGCCTTAGAAACTTAGCAAGGCGCTAAGCCATGTAGGGAGATCCTGTCTCAAAAAAAAAAAAAAAAAAAAAGGCTGGGGGTGTGTCTCAGTGGTTAAACACCCCTGGGTTCAATCCCTGATATATATATTTCTGAATTGGTATTAAATGCTGTCCTGCCCCACCAAGGGGAGATAGATTAAATCAGTGGATCTCGGATTCTCTTGATGAAAAGATTGTTGGCCATTAATCATAACCTTTACGGGAAACTGCTATCAGAGTGAAGGGATGCTGCTTCTGATTAATGAGGAACCAAGAGGCGGTAAGTGACATATCCATTCAAATCAGAAAACATGAATCAAGATCATGGCATTAGCAGCCATGGGAACATGAGAGGTGATATTGTCATTAGGGCCAGACTCTCCAGTACTTGGAGCTCTCATCTGCGTATCTGCACTTCCCTTCCCGGTACAGTGCCTCTCCTGCTATTTCCGGGAGTTCATAGGGCTCCCCATGCCTGCCTCAGTGGTCCTCATCAGAACCCCTCTCTTCAAAATTCCATAGTTCCTTCTAATGGGGGTGCTGACCAACCTCAGTCTTAACCACACTCAGGCAGCCCTGATGTGAGCAGGGTTAGGACAGGGAGATTGGCTGTTGATAGGACTCTGCATGTGCCCTGTGTGATTAGACCCAGACTCTTGAACAAAAGTCTTTCATGAGCACAGTCCGTCAGTCTGCACCCTGACTCCTCTCTCCATAAGCAGGAAGTCAAACCCCCTCAGCAGTCTGGGAAGGGATGAGGGTGTGAATACTAAGCCTGAATGATTCCATACAGCCTCCCTCCCTGCCGGTCTCAAATAACATCAAAAGGGCTCCCTTTCCCCTGCACCAAAGCAGAGCTCCAGTCCCCCTCTGTGGCCATATGTGGAATTTGCAACAAGGGCCACTAGCCCTCTGGCTCTGCAAACGGCAATCCAGTTCAGGCTCAGGACATCCCGTTGGACAAGGTGAGAGGCAGACGTTGATGTCCCACCGCAGGTCAAGACATCAGATGTCCTGAAAGATTTACCCTCACACTGTCTGGAGCATGGTTTTCCCTGAGAAGCTGACAGGTTTGTTCTGATTCCATGATCCGGGATCCAAGAGCTTTTTTTCCCTTCCCTTACCTAGCAAAGATCTTTTGAATCCGTGGTCAGTTATTATTTGTTTAATCCTCCAGCAGCTCTGACCGTGCACCAGTTCTCACGGTGGAGAGACAAAAATCCAATACAGGACACATTGTTAAAAATGGGAAGCTTCAAGAAAAAGAGGGAAGAATGATCAATTTGGTACAGCACATATAATTGATGGCCACAGGACACTGTATACCTTTGATCTTGCGGCTCCGAATGGGAAAGCCAACATGACTTCTAGCTGTGGGGCTGGCAGACGGGTTTCCTATCAGCCTCTTCCCTGAGCTTCCTGCAGTCAGCCAAAAGGAGATGACAATTCCCAGGGCTCTGCTGCCCTCATGGGGCTGGCTGCTCTGTTCCTGCTGTGGCCTCTTCAAGGGATTATTTGCCTAAACCAGTCTTTCTCCTAAACCTGGGTACTCCCACCAAGAGCCTCCACCTTTATCAAACCCTCTTTTACTGGTTTTCCCCTCAAATCCAGCTGCCAAAAGCTGCTGCTCTATCTTGGAAAGAATGGCTCTCCAATGCTCTATCATGCCACCTGACTTTGCCTTTCTGGGTCCGCTGCCACTAGTGCTGTGGGGCAGCTATGGCACCGAGGCAAGATGCGAGGAATTTTAGTGCAGGGGACTTGATTTAAATTTTCGTTGTCATTTACTAGCTGTGTGATGTTGAATAAATTATTTCATCATCTTGAACCTCAATTTCTTTACCTTGATTTTTTTAAATGTTATGAATATTTTTTTCTTTATTTTTGGTGCTGGGGATGGAACCCAAGGTCTCCATTCATGCTAAGCAAGCGGTGAAATGTACACCCAAAAAGGGAAGGAAGCTGCCTCTCTCTCCGCCCCTGCTTCCTTCCCTGTAGAAAGGCTCCATCGGTGTAATACCCCTTGCGGACTTCCAGCTGGGACGTCCTGTCTTACGTGAGACTGAGAGTAGGAACTGGGCGTATGCCATCTGCCCTTCCTCTTCCTTTTTAAAAATCTTTTGGGTGTACGTTTCAAAGAGGACGGGATCTCTTCTGGGAGTCCTTAGGGGCAGGCTGAGCCACTGAATTGCTTCTATGGAGCAGGGAAGACCTTCTTTGGTCCAGCTGAGTTGGTTATGGAGCTCAGAATTCTGATGTCCTCTTCTTTGCTGCTACGGTATAAGCTACGTTCTCCCATGTTGGCCATATTCATAATAAAGATGATATTTTGATTTTTATCTTCTGAGTCCTCTTATTTCTCAGGTGGTTCAAAAGTCAGATGGGGAATGGGAGCATTAGGTGTGGGGCCCCCTGAAGATGCTCAACATGATTGTAAATGAAGAACTCCAAAAATTACAAAAAAAGGCTTCTAAGGGAAAGCAAACCCCCTTTCCATCCCTGACCCTCAGTCCCCAAGTACCAAGTCTGGTCACTCCCAGCTCATCACCAACTGATTGTATTTTCTTCCAGAGGTATCCTAAATATACAGATACACACTGGCATGTACTCACTACAGGAATAAAGCATATGCAGAGTTCTGTCCAGGAATTTTCCTTTTTCATTTAGTAGTATGCCTTGCAGATCTTTATTTAGTTATTTATTTATTTTTATTATTATTAGTTGCTCAAGACAATACAATGATCTTGACATATCTTACATTTGATTCAAATAGGGTATGAATTCTCATTTTTCCACGTGTACAGATGGCAGGATCACATTGGTTATACATCCATGTGTATACACACAGCAATCCTAGTGTCAGTTGTGTTCTGCTGCCCTCCCTATCCCCGCCTCCCCTCCCCTCCCCTCCCATCACTATTCTCTACCCAGATAGACCTTCATTCTCTCTAATGGCTGCACTGGACTTTGTGAACCAGTCCCTTCTCAATGGACATGGTTTCAGTCTTGCTGTTACAGAGTTGAGCATGATGAATAAATGTGCAAAATCTGGCACCAGCCTACCTGGGGCTGACTTCCAGGGCCATTACTTACTAGCAGTATGAACTTGAGCAACTTACTGACCCTCACTGTGCCCCGCTTTTGTATCTAAAATGAGACTGATTATGACGTCATGGGATTCTATGAGGATTCCACGAATAAGTGCCAAGCACTTAGAAGAGTGCCTGGATTATCAGTTTCAACCAATTTGATTAATGCTGCATTTGAAATTATATAGCGAATTTTCCATGTATTTAAGGAGGGTAAATTCTTAGCAATAGAATTGTTTAGAAATTCTTGGAAACAGAACTTACAATATCAAATTGTCTTCGATAATACTTGAACTGTCTTTGGTCCCCACAATCTTGCCCTCACAGATCTTTAGCAACTTTTTGATATAAAACATTATTGATATAAAACATCACCTAATTGTAGTTCTAATTACTATTGCTTTTATTATGAGTGAACTCGAGTGAGTATCTGTTCGTATGTTTTTAAGAACCATTAGTTTCCCTTTTGACCAATTCCCATGCTGCAAAATGGTTAAACTTATGTTCAGATTTTTTTTTTATATACTAAGAAAACTAGTCCTTCATCTGTGAGATGCTTTGGAAATGTTTTGCAAATGTGTCATTTGTCTTTTGACTTTCTAATGGTATTTTATAAATCAAGTTAATATATTCTGATTTCTGGGGTTTGTGTCATAAGTTTAAAGACATGACCCACTCTGAATTATTTTTACTCTTATATTTATTACAGTACTTTAATGATCTTTTACAGTTTAGTTTCTGACATACCTGGAATTTATTTTGACATAAGGAGTGAGATGGTTCATGGTTACTTTTTAAAAATCTGAATACCATTTACTGAATAAACCAAATTTTCTCAAATCATTTAATAAACCATCTCCCAAATCTAAATGTCCATATGTATTTTAGTTTAGTTCTGGTCTTTTTTTATTCTATTCTACTGATTTATTTATTCATGCATCATTAGCATAATAATTAATCGTGCTTAACAAAATAGGTACTAGTACAGAAATGTTATTACAGCAGCAATGTTCATAACTAAAAAGTGGATACAGTTTGAATTTCCATAAATTGTTGAATGATCAAACAAAAGGTGGCATACCATATAAAGCAACCGTATTCAATATTAGAGAGGAATGAATTACTGATACATGCTGCAAAATGGTTAAACTTATGTTAAGTCAAAGAAGCCAAATATTGTAGGATTCCACTTATGTGAAAAGTTCAGAATAGGCAAACATATAGAGATAGACAGCATATTAGTGATTATTTAGGGGCCTTAGGGTGAGAAGATGAGGATTGACTCCTAAAGTGTGTGGAAATTCTTTTAGGAAGTTGATATTCTAAAATTAGATTTTTGTGATAGTTGCACAATATGGTAAATACATTAAAAACATTGAATTAGTGAATGGATAATTATGAATGTAATGCACTCCACTATTGTCATGTATGTAAGAAATAAATTTAAAAAAACCATAGAATTATACTATGTAAATAGGTGAGGCATGTGTAAATAATATATTAATAAAGTGTCTTTAAAAAAGAAATCAAAACAGGTGCTTTAAGTTAGCTGCTAAGGCTAGCTTTCCTACATAAATTTTATTTATCATTAATTTGTCTGTATGAATTTTCCTGATTTTCTTTCTTGTTTATTATTTAAGTGGGAATTTTAAGGTAAGTGTGCCTAGAATTTTTTTTAATGGGATTGATATCTTTAATGGGATTGCCTATATGATTATCCATTGTGATTGGAGGGGAATTAATGTTTAGATTAATTTTTATTTTTGGTTCTCATGTAAGATTGTTATGCATATTGCATACATCATAGTAAGGATATGGAAACCCACATTTGAATAGTGCTTTATACAATGTGGATTTTGTATTTGTGTAAAACACTGGTCCTGACATGTGGAGAAGGTGACTATGATAGACTAATTACTGATGAAGAAGGAGCCAATATTTGGGAGGGTTTTGCCTTTTTTGGAATTCCTGATAGATTGTTCATTGGGTTGACTCCTCCCTAGTTGATCAATGACCCTGGGGGATTACGTTCTGAACACTGAGCTCTGTCTCACACCCTTTGGGAGGCTACCGGGGAGGCCCTCAGCTAGCTGTCCGTCTGTTGGTACAAGTAGGAAGGCCAGCAACCTTTTTCCTCTGGCCAGGAAAATGACTGACCACTGGTCTTGGAGACTTCTGGATCCCACTGTCAGATCACACCTAAACAACTCTGCAGTTTCACGTGGGCTGCAGTCAAAAAATTGTAGAAGACCAGAAAAGAATATGTTGAGATGAGAGGAACTGGAGTCCAGCCTCACTGGCTTGTCACTTTAACCTGAGCGTAGACGACAGGGTCTAAGTCCGCAGAATGGTTTGCAGTCAAGCTGTGGCTCTTCTTTTCCAAGGGTTGGAAGGACATGCTGGCGTAGGTTAGCGGGTCCTCTTGTGGGGATGAACGCTTCAGAGGGATGGAGAGAAGGAATGAGTGGATTCAATTTGGAGCAAAGTGTGTCTCTTTGGAAGCAGCTGCAACTTTGCAAAGAGGGGACCCAAAGAGATCAGAAGAACTCTTAAAAGAATCCCTTGGAGAGTCCAGGAAGCAGTACAACTACCCCAGTCAGTAATGTGAAACGCAGAGGGAAAGCCAGATGGCAGGGGCTCAGCGCCCGGGAGAAACACCATCATCCTACCTTGGCAGGAGAGTCCGGGTGAGGATCTGGGACCTGGGGACTGTAGTGACCTGCAACAAATACCAGGAAGAAGAGGGACAAGTTGCACCAATGGGGTCTGGAGGAGTGGGGAGCCTCTCCTTTCAATCTTGGGTGAAGGGGAGGGTGGGAGAAGGGGCTGGGGAGTGGGGGGACAGGGAGGAAGAGAAGGGGAAGGAGGGCCGTTCTGATCTGTGTTAATCAGGTTTTATCTCACGCACCCTTACTCACTCGTGGCTATCTCTGTCCTCAGTGACAGACAAGGCTGCCCCATCCCTCAGACACCACTTACATCTTCTGCAGCTCTTAACGATGAGGAAGACCATGGCCGTCAGCAGCAGTGTCAGTAGAACCCCAGCCAAAAAGACCAAGATTAAATCTGCTGGGCTTTTTGGTGGAAGAAGGAAGAGGGTCAACTGCTGAGCTTTTGATGGCCGTTCCTAAAAGCCACAGCACAGCCTTCCCCACCTGCAGGAGAGCCTGGAGCAGACGGCACCCGGCTTAGCGGGCTGCTGCCCTGACCCACTGGTCTTGGCAACTTTCGGCTTTGGCGTACCAGAGGCACCTGAGGCCTCAATGAAGCTGCCGATTCTCCCCACCCTTCCTGCCTCATCACGCATTTTACAAGCTTAAGAAACAATTCTTTGTCTGTTTCTGCTCCTTTCTCTCCAGACCCTCCGCCACTGTCCCCAAGCCAAAGCTGTCCATACAAAGTCAAATGCCATGTGGTTACAGGATGAAGCAGACGAGTAAATGTTCATTTACTTGGGACGGCTGGAATGACAGGGTGCAGAGCTCGTGGTCGTCGGGGCGACGGTAGAGGAGATGTCTACAAGAGAACATGGAAGAAGTTAGTGTAGCTGCCATTTGTCAAGTAAATGTCCCCGGTGCCTCTCTTACCCAAGCAACCAGAAGGGATTAGTAACTGGGTGACTCTACGTGGGAGAGGATACTATGTCATTTAAAGTGAGTATTTAAACAGGAACTTAAAACCATCAGCTATGCAAATAAAAGAAGAGCCCAGTGTCCTGCTGTGTCCTGTGTCCTCTAGAGAAAACAAAAATAAGAAATGTGTGCCGTGACTCCTTCCTCAAAGATTTTCGCAGGAAGCCCTGGGAAAATATGCTCCTTGTGATCTAAGCAAGGGTCTCCAGGCTTGGAGTGAGAACAAGCGGTGAAACCCAGAGCCAGTGCTTCCCCAAGCCCTCAGGACCTTGACCTTAGGAACTGCTGCCCTTTTTGGCTGGTCATTTTGCAGGGCAGCTGATAACAATGTCCTGCCCAAAGCAGCCAGGATAGTTTCCCCCAGTGTCTAGAAAACAAATAGGGGAGGAGGAAGGGAAGTGAGTTAGCTTCTCATGAACTGCTCAGGTGATCTATTCAGATTTGGAGGGTTAGCAGTCCTTTCTGGATCCCCTTTTCATTTCTGAGGCACTAGAGTCTGTGTTGTGATAAAAGATGATTTTCCCAACCTGAGAAATGCACTAGCCAGTGGTGTCCCATTATAGCCCCTTTAGCACAACATCTTAATCTTCTAGTTTGTTTTTACTTTGTAGTGAGGCCCGTAACAGTTCCCGTTCTAAACTCACCATATTGGGGCTTAGGTGTGGAGTTCTTTCCTCCCATGCTGTCTTCACCTGAGAATTAGAAAAAGGAACCTCCTAGCTTAAAAGGGGCCAACCACTGAGGGACCCACTCCGAGACGGATGCTAACATAGGACAATAACAAGGAGAGAAAGGTCAACTGTGGGTGCTGAGGTGCCGTCACGGGTCAAGACTTTACCTGGTATGCTTTGTAGGTCCCGAAATGAGAACTTATCACCAAGAATTGACTGATTGCTCCAGAACTGATTCCCATTCACAACTCACGGCAGACTGAGGTACAAATTGACATAGGAATGTGTTGGTGTGATCGGTGCTTACTATCAGAACCTGTATGAGCTCCAATTAAAACCAGAATTTTGCTTGTTAGGCATTGAATTGAAGTAAGCATAAGATGAATGAATGATTTTAATACTGAAGTGTCTTCCAAGTCTGAGGCATCCACCTCACTTTTCCCTGGCAGTGTTGGGTAAACTTTCACAAATTTCTCTTAGAGGCCCTTCTCCAGGGGCCAGCAGACACTTCTGTTCACATATTGTCTTTTCAAGTATGCTGATATCCTTGTCTAGACTTCTACCTGTTATGTTAAGCCTTCTTTATTTAGTGGTTTTTTTTTTTTAGCCAGAAAATATAAAATATCTAAAGGCAGAAAAGTAAAAGCGTCTAAACCCTTACTGTCATTGTTAATGTTTTAGTAACTTTCCTTTTAGTCTTGCTCCATGCATTCTATTAAAGCTGCATGAGCTACTTCTTTAAGATGTTGTATCCTTTTTCATTTTGCTACTGAGGATGGAATCCAGGGGCACTTTACCACTGAGCCACACCCACAACCCTTTTTATTTTTTTATTTTGAGGTAAGGTTGCTGAGGGTGTCACTAAATTGTTGAGGCTGGCCTTGAAATTTTGATCCTCCTGCCTTCGCCTCCCAAGTTGCTGGGATTATAGGCATGCACCACCACACTCCGCAAGAGGTTATATCCTTTGTTTTCACTCAGCATTTTATCATACACATTCTCTCATACCACTAAAGAAGGTAACATTTTTAGTGATGATTGGCATTTCTGTTATACCTGTCCCCCTTTATCTGTGAGGGATTCATTCCAAGATGTTCTGGAGATGCCTGAGACCTTGGGTAGTATCAAACCCTGTACAGTAGATATAATATCTTTTCCTGTATACACGTACCTCTGATAAAGTTTTATTTATAAATTAGGCATAGTAAGAGATTAACACCAATATAGTACAATTACAACAATATGCTGTAACAAAAGTTATTTAAAACTTATGATTATTTATTTCTGGAACTTTCATTCCATACTTTCCGACACAGTTAACAGGAAGTAACCAGACATCTGGCAAGTGATAGTATGGGTAAGGGGGGTATACTGTGTATGACTTGCTTTACCAGCTCCCTACTGGCTGATATAAATTATTTTCAATTTATTTAATTAAAGGACAATGAAACAGAAATTTTTGCACATAAGCCTTTCTATGCATCCCTGATTGTATTTTAGATGGCCATGATTTTACTTCATATTTAGATAAACATGTGCTAAAACTTTTTGGCTCTACTTTTTCTGCTGAATTTTAATATAATTTATTATGTTATATGATACATAATGTATGATATGATATAATATAATGTAATATATTATATTTAGGCAATCAATGTCATCAATTGTTGATGTGTTTTCATTTTTCAGTTCTTAAAAGTTAATTTCCAAGTTCCTGGACCCGGGGAAGGCTGGGAAAAGAATACTTCATTGTCGTTTACCACCTACAACATCAGCAGTAGCATCATTAGCAAGTACCTTACAGTTCACCAACATTTTTAAATAATCCTGCAATGTGTAAGAAAGGCACCTACAGGAAAATTTGATGAGGAGTATTAGCCATGAGACACAAGGCACACCATTAACTAGCGCTATAATATGTATACATGCGTGGACGTAGTATCTTATTATATATATTAATTCGTTGTGTAGAATATAATATTTTGAAGGTATTGAGGTATGTGTTTGTACTAAAGAGGGCGTTCACTTACACTAGATCTTACCACTGGGGAGGTGGAAGAGGAGAGCTTGGTAGGTCTGTGTAAAATTCTGATCTTTACATTCGTAGTTCTCAATGAACAACCCTTTCAATGAAGTGTTACTACCTAAAACAAGTTAGAACAACCCACCCGGGAAAGCAAAACCCATCACACAATGCCAAAGGGAAATAACTACTTACAAATTCAGGCCAATGAAAGCAGGAAGCATATTTCCCTTTGAAAACAATATTTTCAATGTTTAACAGAAGCAAAAAGTTACAACAGAAACAGTTGTATCCAGCACTGGAGAATCTTGCTCATTGCCTTAAAATTCATCAACTTTCTAAATGCAGCCATTCAAATACAATCCTTCCCCCACCTAATTAAAAAAAAAATGATAGAAGCAGCTAGTAACAAGTAGATGGCATTATCTTTTGGTGAGCGATTATTTTACCCAGATTAAAATTTTGTGAAACGCATTTACCTTTTAAGAAAAACTCCGGACATATGAGGCAGTTTTCTAAGACTGAGCCTGCTTCCGTTATGAGTCCCGTTTGGCAGAAATGACGAAATAAAAATTACCAGCACTGTCACTGTTGCCTTTAAGCTGTGTGTCATAAAGATCCTGTCTAAGCTCAAGGGTGGACTTCCTCTTTAGGGCTAATGCAACATTAAAAAAAAAAATCCTATAAACAGCTAAATTGCTTTTATGTATTTTGACACATGAACTTTAGAACATAAGAGGATAAGGTGAGTTCATTTCTAATTATTTATTGTTCCCTTGAATCACCCTGCCAGATATTTCGGAGGTCACCGCAATATGGACATTATGATTGTCGTCAAGGACCTCATGATGGTATCTATTCCTACCAGGGAAATGAAGCTGATAAAGTAAAGTGAAGAACAAATAGTGTTAAGTATGGCTGTGCAGATGTCAGAAGGAAGGTGATTCATTTATGTATAAATATTGATAAAATATTATATTTATAAATACTCATAAAGTAGTAGTAATTAGTACACACACCAGATAGACTTTATGGACCCTACAGTGGGCTATGTACTGAGAGCAAGGCAGAAAATTTCCTTACCTTGTCTCATTGTAAAGGGGCATGAGACACCTCTCAAAGACGTAGAAGAGTTTCACTTGGTTAAGGGACATGAAGGAAAGAGTGCTAGCTAGAGAGGGAGTGATGGGAAAATGTCTTTAGACAGGGTGGACCACTGGGGAAGGCTTCTTTAGTCGTGGGCCTTTCCACTGAGAATCGAGAACGCTGACATGAGAAGGGGTTAAATCGGGCAGCCAGGGGGCAGAGGGCAGAGGGCAGAGGGCAGAGGGCAGAGCCTGGAATAGAAGCAAGAAAAAGCTGCGCAGCTAGAGAAAGGAGGCAGTGCAGGTGGACCTTGAGCTGGGGTGGAGGCTGACGCACAGATGGGGTTTGGATTCAGGAGAGGGAATGTGGGAGGGATAGATGGCCCAGGACCAGGATGGTTTGCTGGGATTCAAGTGATGTACCTTTGAGGATATCAGCATAATTCAAGAATGGGGCATTTGTAGAGGGTGGGAGGTGATAGATATATTAGAGGCTGATGGTGGGGTTCTTTAAATTCAAGCAAAATGTATACAGTTATGCATCCTTTAACAAGGGGACTGCGTTCTGAGAAATGTTTTGTTAGAGGGTTTCATTGTGTGGACATCACAGAGCATGCTTACACAAGCCTAGATGGTCCAGGCCAGTCAATCCTTGTGGCCCTTGACGCAATCAAGAGAGGTGATTAGACACAAGATGCATCCTATGATGATCTCTTTTACTAAAGTGGCTGGGGGGGGGTGTTAATGGTAGAGACCCCAGGGTCTTTGTTTAAGCTGTTCCCTCAAGTGATCTCTTATCCTTCAGTTGTCAATTTAACTACAATTTGTTCCAGAAGGCCTTTTATGAGCTCCTGGATTAGACTAGTTCACTTATCATATGTGCCCCTGTCACGTTTTAACATTAAGAACACTGATGTTGTTTAGTGTTGTGATCGCTAGACTGTAAGATTTGTGGATATCATATTTTCTCATCCTAATTTCTACCAGTGCCTGATCCACGAGGTGCTGTTTATAAATGACTAATGGATGAGCTTCCTGTTTTCCTGGTGGAAAACTTCATTCTTTGAAGATCCCTCCTTACTTTTCTCGTGTCAATGGAGGAAGTTTCCCTCTGGAATGCTGAATGTATTGGCCCACTTAGGGATTTTACTACCTCTATCTTCCTGTTTCTTTTCATTTTCTTTTTCCTTCTGTTGCCTTTTCCTTCGTTCCAGCCTCCCTCATTTTAGAACATTCCCTTGAGTCAACCTTTTGCTCTCTCTGGTTACTAGAGAAGTAACTTTCTGGAAATTCTTCTCCATGAGTCTATTTCCTCATTGTCCTCCAGTCCTGTAACCCCGGTGCAATCTTTCTTCTGTCTCTACCGTTCAAACAAAACGACTCTGAGAAGGGCCATCAAAGACTCCTGAGCTATTATCTGTAATAGACACTTTGAGCCCTCCTCTTCATCTTCCTGCAAAATTGATTACTGTTGGACTCTTCCTACGTGCAACTTCACACTCTCAATTTTATCATACTACACTCTTCTCGTTTTCTTCCAATGACTGACCATTCTTTCTTTTGCAGAATGCTTTACTCTGCTAACCCTCAAACACTGATGTTCTTTCATACTTAGCTATATTTTTCCCTGAAAGTTTCTCCTGTATTCTGAACCATAGTAAATAGTACCCCCTCCCCCCACATTTTTAACTCTCTCAAGCAAGAGACTCAAATTGATGCTTCCCTTCTTCCATTTTCTTCTTAGGCAAGTCTTCAACTCTTGCCTTTAGTACTTTTCACCAATTCCTTCCTTTTCACCTGCCAAAGCCTTTGGTCAAGGTTTTCAATATCATTTAGCTAGAATGAGTCAACCTGACTAGTTGTTCTCTCTCTCTCCAAACTGTCCTGTGTTTATTAGTGCTATTTCTTTCTCTTTGGGGTGGGGTGGGGTGGGATGGCGGAAAGAACTGGGGATTTAACCCAGGGACAATTTACCACTGAGCTACATCCATAGCCCATTTTATTTTTTGAGATAGCATTTTACTAAGTTGGTTAGGGCCTTGATAAGTTTCTGAGGCTGGTCTTGAACATGCAGTCCTCCTGTCTCAGCCTCCTGAGTTGCTGGGATTACAGGTATGTGCCACCACATCCAGCTTACTAGTGATTTTTCTGAAAGGAAAATCTAGCTATCATTCCTTCTCTGCTTAAAACTGGTGGTTGTCCCCTGACCTTAGAACAAAATATAAGTAGGCGCAACATTTAAAGACCTATGATTTGTATTTTATTCTTGATTTCTTTAGAGTTTTAAAAATATTACACTACATCTTCTCTACAATCACAAATACTGCCCCCTCTAAGATTGGCTAACTTCCTCTTCCAAATGTCAGCTCAAATACCATTTCCCCTCTGGCCTGTCATTTTTTTGCTCTGTCAATGTTTTGTTGAACATTTCCATTGTCTCTCTGTGACTGGAATTTTAAAATACTATTCATTCAAGTTAACATTTACTGATATGATAGTTATTGTGATGGTTATTATGTGTTAACTTGGTTAGATAGAACTATTTTCCATAATTCTTTTCCCTGACTGTTTTGGTTAGGGAAGACAAGATTTTTTTTTAAGAAAAATACTTTAATTTAAAATTCTGATTTATGCATAAAATTTTTATACCATGATTTTAGTACAAACTATAAAAATGTTAACACTGAAGTTTTCAACAGAAATCTATTCAAATCCCTTAGAAAAATTACTTAAAGACACAACAGCAATTATTGGTATAAAATTTATACATAAAGAAAAAAACAATCATACATTTTACTGAAATTTTCAGTAAATTTTAGCCATTACTACTTATTGCAAAATTAAAAGTTCAAAAGTTGTGTGTGTGTGGCTCTATAGGAATTATAATTTAATGAAAACACTAAGCCAAATCTCTCTGATCTAATCAGAATAATACAAATTTATTTAAAAAATTAGTTGAAATTTGTAACTTTAAGGAAGTTACCAAACGTGACTAGAATAGGTGTATCGTAACTTAGCACAAGACTCTTGAGCAAGATTCGGGGGTGGGGTTTGGTTGTGAAGTTCGTACATGTTGTGTTGGCTCAAAAGTGGTAGATTGGCAACTTCCCATACTTAACTTGGATCATAACTTCAGTTTCCTCTAACTTTTGGAACAGGCGTTTGAAATGAAGGACAACTACATCACTAAAATCAGAGACAATAAAAACTGACATGGGCTTCAGTCTGGGCTGTGATCTTTCCTGATTCCTATCATTCCTACTGCCTTCCACTTTGCATCCATCTTTCCTTAATTGACTGCCAGATGGACTTCAGCATCAGAAACAAAGACAACAGTCTAACTTAAGTAGCTCTCACGATAGTGTGAAGTCAAATCCCTTAAACATATATTCTAGAAGTTTGAGCCCTGACCTGACTTATTAATACAAGGGAAATGACTAACTTGGTTAGACTGCTTAAAATGGTGCTTGTCCTCTTAAACCCTGTGCTTGAATCTGTTATCATTGCGAATAATATTGCGTTCTCAGATTTTATAAAAAATTTTTGAGGTAGTTGTTTTTGTCTCTGTATGACCAGGGCAGTTTGTTGCTTAGCACAAATAACTTTTTTTTTTTTTTTGTATCAGGGATTGAATTTAGGGGCACTCAAGTACTGAGTCACATCCCCAGCCCTATTTTTTTAATGTAAAAATTTTTTATTTATATATGACAGCAGAATGCATTGCAATTCTTTTTTTTTATTTTTAAAAAGTTGTTGATGGACCTTCATTTTATTTATTTGTAGGTGGTGTTGAGAATTGAACCCAGTGCCTCATGCATGCTAGGCAAGCGCTCTACCACTGAGCCACAATCCCAGCCCTACAAATCTTATTACATATATAAAGCACAATTTTTCATATCTCTGGTTGTATACATAGTATATTCACAACAATTTGTGTCTTCATACCTGTACTTTGGTTAGTAATGATCATCACATTCCACCATCATTAATTACCCCATGCCCCTCCCTTCCCCTCCAACCCCTCTGCCCTATCTAGAGATCATCTATTCCTCCTATGCTCCCCGCTCCCTATCCCCCTATGAATTAGCCTCCTTATAGCAAAGAAAATATTCAGCATTTGTTTTGGGGGATTGGCTAACTTCACTTAGCATTATCTTCTCTAACTTCATTTACCTGCAAATGCCATTTTATTCTCTAATATTCCATTGTGTATATATGCCACATTTTAAAAATCCATTTATCTACTGAAGGGCATCTAGGTTGGTTCCACAATTTAGCTATTATGAATTTTGCTGCCATAAACATTGATGTGGCTGCATCCCTGTAGTATGCTGTTTTTAAGTTCTTTGGGTATAGACCTAGGAGAGGGACAGCTGGGCCAAATGGTGATTCCATTCCCAATTTTCCAAGAAATCTCCATACTGCTTTCTATATTGGCTGCACCAATTTGCAGGCCCACCAGTAGAGATGAGTGTACCTTTTTCCCCATATCCTTGCCAACACTTATAGCTGCCATTCTGACTGGAGTGAGATGAAATCTTGGAGTGGTTTTAATTTGCATTTCTCTAATTGCTAGTGATGATGAACATTTTTTTCATGTATTTGATAATTGATTGTACATCATCTTCCGAGAAGTCTCTTCAGGTCCTTGGCCCATTTATTATTTGTTTTTTTGGTGTTTAGCTTTTTGAGTTCTTTATATACCCTAGTGATTAGTGCTCTGATGTATGAGGGGTAAAGATTTGCTCCCAAGATGTAGGCTCTCTATTCACCTCACAGATTCCAACCCCCCTTTTTTTGTATTTTATTTAGATAAAGGGTCTCACTGAGTTGCTTAGCGCTTCACTTTTGTTGAGGCTGGCTTTGAACTTGTGATCCTCCTGGCTTAGCCTCCTGAGCCACTAGGATTACAGGTGTGCACCACTGTGCCCAGCTAAATAATGTTTTATAATTCTTTGTTAAATGAATAGTTTGGATTATTGTTAAATGAATATTGACCCAAATGATTGTTGGATTATAATCTTAGTAAGTCAATGAAAATAGCAATTACATGATGCATATTTTCAGCTGCTTCTTATCTGTGTTCAAAACAGATGAATCTCTACCTCAGTACAAATAAATCTTTGGTTAAGTATAGAAGACTTAAATGCAGACAGATCTACGAAGAGAAGAAATTTAAGATTTATCTGCTGGATTTTTTTTTCAATTTTTATTATGGTAAAATACACATAAAACTTAAACCCATTTTTAAGTGCACATTTGGTGGTGTTTTACCATATTCATAATGTGAAACCATCACTATTTCATTTTTGTAACTCATTTTGTAAAACAAAAACTCTGCATGTTCCCATTTAACTAACTCCCTATTCCTTGGCAATCACCATTGTATTGTGTTTATGATTTTGACTGGAAGTAACTCACACCAAGTAGAACCACAGACAGGGTCTCACTGAGTTGTCATTTTTGTATTGGTGTTATTTAACTTAGCATAATATCCTCAAGGTTGATCCAAGATGTATTAAGTGTCAGAATTTCCTTTTAAGGCCAAATATTCTATTGTATAGCTATACCACATCTGGCTTTCCATTTATCTGTTGATGGGCACTAAGGCAGCTTCTGTTTTAGATATTGTGAATAATGCTATAAAGAATTTTGAGATCCTTTATTGATTTATTTTTTTGAATCTGGGTCTTGTTACGTTGCCTAAGTAGACCTTGAGCTTTTCCCAAGTGATGCTCCTGCTTCAGTCTCCAAGAAGCTGGAAGGTATGTACTATCACATCGAGATGGCTGGATCATATAGTAATTCTATTTTTAATTTTTTGAGAAACTTACTTTTCTATAGTAGCCATTCCATTTCATATTTCTATCAATGGCACACAAAGGTTACAATTTCTTCACATTCCTTCCAACACATTTGTGATTTTTCTTTTTATAAAAAAATGCTTGTTATTGAGAAGAGGGTAAACTCCACTATTAGGAGTGGGGTTTCTTATTTTATTTTTGTAGTGCTGGAAATCATTAAGTGATTTCATGACAGTATACTGGGTCTATAATATTTTCTATAGGCATTCTACTGAAATTTTAATAGTTATTGATATGATTTGATTTATAATATTTCCTTTAGTTATTTTAAGTCTGGGTACTTAAAAGCTTTACATTTCTTATAACCTATCCATTAGCTAGAAATAGCTCACCAACAGTTTTCTAAGATATTAATCAATGACATCATGATAAATGCTGAAATTATACCTCAGAGAATTACAAAACTTGAAAAATCTTGTTTTAATCATCACTTTATTATAAGATGATGGGATTAATTATAAATTCAAATTGTTACTTGGTAATTGTTCACCAGGCAATGTTTTAATAAAAGCATATTGCTTTTTCAAAAGTGATCAAAGAACAACTCAAAATGCAGGGTAATGATGAGAACTATCTGACTGGCCAACAGATTTAGCTTTCTTATTAAAAGAACTTTTCTTTTTTGGAAAGGTAAACTGTAATCTCAGTAGACAACAATAGAGAAAAATTTTGTCATGTAGACTAGTTTTCATTTATTCAGTCAATTGTGTGTAGCTGTCTCAACTGGGACAGATACATTTACATTACTGGCTGTGCTTGAGCCTTCTTTGCCAGCAGCTGGAGATCTGAAATGCACTTGGCAATTGTCTCCTTTTCCTGTGATAAAGAAAGAGAGAAATCTAGTTAGAACCTACATGGCAGAGTATAAATATTATAATTCTAAAAAACACCTTTCCTGTAAGACCAGAAACTCAAGATGATACTGGTTTAATATAGTTAAGACCACTAGAAAAATTTAGAAATAAAATTAATTATTTTAATACAGAAGAGATGTAATTTATTTTAAAAGTAAATCCAGGGAGTAAATTAAAGTTCCTTGGCTCACAGCTTTTGAGTGAAATCTATAAATAATTTGAAGACAGATACTTCTATAGTCAACTGTCCCTAATGTTGGTTTGTAACTGATCCTTGAAAAAAACAACCCAATAAGCACTAGTAATACAAAAAATGCTAATAATGAATGAAAATAATTGTTAGTTTTCTGTTAGAGAGCCACAGCTGAAGTGGCCCCAGCAAACTTCTAGCTGATTGGCTTCTCTCCATGATGCTCATTGGGCTGTTTCCCTGCCCTTTCAGACCATGGAGCTGCTCATTGGGGGACTCTTTTGGCTCCACCCACTCGACCCAGCCAATCGGCCTCAAGAGCGGGAGGAATGGGGATTGAGAGGATCGCTGGAAGCAGGTGGTGGCAGTTGGGCTCTGAGGGAATTCCTGAAGAGCTAGTGTGGTGCCGCGTGTGCGGTCTAAAAATAAAGTTCGTTTCTGCTTGACAAGTGGCTCGTGAATTGTGCCCAGCCAGTCTGCGGTGGTTTTCTATTTTTTTTTTTTTTGTATTTTTCTTTTTTTTTTAAAGGAGGGTACTGGGGACTTTATTTTTTCAGACAGGTCTCGCTCGCTCAGTTACTGAGGCTGGCCTTGAACTTGCAATCTTCCTGTGTCATTGGGATTATGGGTGTGTGCCACTGTGTCTGGCTATTTTTTCAGGTTCTTTGAATAAGCATGTATGTAACTTTTATGTAAAAACAATTTATTTAAAAATCAATAAATAAAAACAGCCCATCAAATTTTGATAGGCTTTGTTTTTGGATTGAATCTGGTACACCACACCACTGAGCTACATACCCAGTGCTTTTTTATTTTTCATTTTGAGACAAGAGTTCACTAAGTTGATAAGGCTGGCCTTGAACTTGTGAAACTCGTGACTCAGCTTCCCAAGTCACTGAGATTATAGGAGTGTGACCTGAGCCAGATGATGGTGTTGTTGTTCTGATTTTGCATAGGTTATGTAGGACATGACCAGAAATGCCTGGTCAATATTCAGTGCTATGTATCTTGGAAAGAGGAAATCAAGTAAATAAAGAACACAAACAGCAACAACAATCAACTTAACCCCCTCCAAAAAAAAAGAAAGAAAAAACAAATACAGTTTAAGCAATTAACAGAAAACATTTCTGTTCAATAGTAGAAAACATTTGTGTTCAAAATAGATGAATTAAGATTTAGCTAGAAAAATGGAAATGGAATGGAGATTGTGGAATTAGGAAATGGAAGGGGCTTATGTTACATTTTAAAGAGAAATAAAATGTTGGTTAATGCTACCTACAACCAGTATTCTCAATGACCTGTGGTAAACAAACTTTGAGAAAAGGGGAAAGCCTTGGAATTTGTGCAGATACCTTCTAGGCCACGACCATCCAAAAATATAAACGAGACTCACCTTGCTAATTCTAAGCTAAAAGACTCCTTTTTAGCTATTCCTACCTTTAAAAAGCATTATCAGAAACTTGCTTTAAGAGATACTAGAAAAAGCTACTAAATAACATACCTGCTGTGCAGAGATGCTCTGTACCACGTGCTTCTCCACCCAGTTTATCATGTGCTCCTGTTCCTTTCGATGCATCATATTTTGCACAGAGATATGATAATCCAGGCGATTCTTTACCTCCTTGTATACTTTATGTAGCCGTTCCCGGTAAGTAACCTCCAAGGCCATAGCAATGTTATTCTGGAGAAAAATTAAGAAATGATGAATAATGTTTGCATGTTTAAAGTAATACTTCTGCTCTGAGGATACAGTTAGAATGTCTCTCTCCTGTTATTTTAGATATAATTATTTTAATATAACATAGTAAAAATAATTATAACAGCATGTGGTAAAAATGTATTTATAAGTATAGGTGGTTAAGAAAAAAGTCTTCCCCAGCTCCCCCACAGGCTACCATTTTCCTTTATTTCTTGTATTCTTTCCCAGAAATATTTACTAAACTGGTATATGTACTTCACTTTTATTAGCTATGAAATGCAAGCCCACTTTAATTTTAAGTTACATAGGATTTTACCATATCAGTGTTCTATGACCCATGTAACCAAGTTCTATTAATAAATTAGGTCTTTCAATTTTTTCTCAACAAATAATGCAGCAAAGATTGTACATTCGTCTTTTTACTTATGTGCAAATACTTGATTAGTCAAATAATAGCTAATCGTTTTTGAGTACGTGCCATGTTCTAAACACTCTAGTGTGTCAATTCAATTAAATCTTTTTTTTTTTTTTTTTGCGGACACAACATCATTATTTGTATGTGGTGCTGAGGATCGAACCCGGGCCGCACGCATGCCAGACGAGCGCGCTACTGCCTGAGCCACATCTCCAGCCCCTCCATTAAATCTTAAACCACTTGTGGGATAGTTACTATTATATCCATTTTAGAGAGAAAACTGAGGCAAAAAGTTAAGGAGTTTGCCCAAGGTTACAGAGCTAATAAATTGTGAAGCCAAGATCCGAATACAGGCAGTCAGGCTACAAAGTCTATCCTCTGACCACTCTCTTCCTTACTTCCTTTTATTCTTCCCGTCACTCATCCTGCCTTAGCTGCACTGACCTCCTGACTTTTTCCAGGACTATACCAAGAAAACTTCCAGGTTTAGGGCCCTTGCACTTATTTTTTCCTTCTTTCTGAAATATTATTTCCTCAGAAATTCACATAGCTTGTACCACCATTTCTTTCTGCTCAAATAGAGGCCTTTCCTGACCACCCTACAAAAATAGTAACTCCCTCATCCTATAATCTATTTTGCTCTAACACTGATTTAACAACACTAATTTACTGTCCTTCCTGGTGCTTACTACCCAGTGACATTTACATCTACTCAACTATTTCTGTTCTTCCCCAATTGGCTAGAAAATAAACTGTATAAAGTAGAAATTTTGTTTCTTTCTCCAATATATTTTCTATACCCTGCCATAACCACCACAGTATTCACATAGGAAGAACTCAACAAATACATATTAAATGACTGTCATATGACTTATGAAAAAGCTACAAGTTCTGACTTGGCTTTTTAAAAAAAAGGCACAATCTACATATCCGTGTGTGTGTGCTGAAGCAGTATTATACATGAGACAAGAAGCATTCTCTAATTTTAACCTCAATATACATAGAAAGAGGCTTTAATATTTTCTAAGATTTTAAGACATTTATATGCTTTAGGGACCCTATTTAAAAGAATACAGATTCTTAGCCCCTAACAGAGGTTTTGATTTCATAAGTCTTGGAATTGGCCCAAAGACTTACACCAACTCTGATGCAAAGGGTACTGAAACCAGACCAAAAAAACCAGACCAAAAATAAATTATCGACATATCTTTAATATTTCAGATAAATTACCCTATTTTAGCACTGCATTGTTCATTTCAAAGGTGCTTTTATAATATAAAATTTCATTGTGAGAGCATCTTTTACGTATTAGGCATAAAATACAGGGCTCAACAAAAATAATGACAAAATACTTGAATATGTTCCTTATTTTGGAAACTATAAACATTTTGGAATCTAAATATGCTGTCAACATGATAAAAAATAGCATTATTGGGCTGGGGTTGTGGCTCAGAGGAGTACTCGCCTAGAACGTGTAAGGCCCTGGGTTCGATCCTCAGCACTACATAAAAATAAATAAATAAAATAAAGATATTGTGGGCTGGGGATGTGGCTCAAGCGGTAGCACACTTGCCTGGCATGCGTGCGGCCCAGGTTTGATACTCAGCACCACATACAAACAAAGATGTTGTGTCTGCCAAAAACTAAAAAATAAATATTGAAATTCTCTCTTTCTCTCAAAAAGTACTATTACTACCTGAATTTTCTTTGTGAATTTGAATGTAAGGTATCAGGTTTTCTTAGAGCACATATGTAAGATTTTCTTATATCAAGTTTGTATGAAATACTTAGCCTTTCTTAGTGTATGCATTTTTTAACTAGCTGTAACTTCATGACTGTTTTCCTTTTGTGTGGAACCAAAATGTGTTCTTTCAGAACTTCTACTGTTTCTAACTTTAGAAAACTATTTAAATTATTTTTATAAAAGTTTAAAATTATTTTTTGATGACAATCCTTAAATGTCTAAATGGCTGTAACTGCCAACTTCTATCCCAATCTTCTCTTTTCTAAATAAAATACGCCCAATATAGTTATTAAATTATTCCTCATTAAGAGATTGTGATTTTTCTTTTCTTTTGCGGTGTTGAGGATCAAACCTATGGCCTTAACAGCATGTTAAGCAAGTGTCCCACCAATTAACATAATATCCCTAGCCCTGCGTTTCCTTGGTTTTTTTTTTTTGGTACTGGGGATTGAACTCAGGGACACCACAAGACCACTGAGCCACATCCCCAGCCCTTTTTTGTATTTTATTTGGAGACAGGGTCTCAAATTGCTTAGCACCTCACTAAGTTGCTGAGGCTGGCTTTGAACTCCCAACCCTCCTGCCTCAGCCTCTGGAGCCATTCAATTACAGGTGTGCGCCACCATGCCTGGTAGCTCGTTTGTTTTTTAACGCATACAAACAAATAATTTCATTTTCCTTAGAAACTAGTGAAACCTACCCTCTGGACATCAAAAAGATAGTGGCGCTTCTGAACCAGTGCCTGTTGTGACTTCTCCAACTCAATTGCATCCTGGATTTGTTTGATGGAAGCCTGCTTCACCTCTTCTAGTTGGGCAATTTTTTGCTGTAATTATGATATTAACAAAAAAGATCAGTGAAAGCACCAAGGCTTACAAAACTAGATTCATTTTATGCTTCCCCAAAGTTATACCCCTCATATGTGAAAAAACATATGAAAAAACCCACAAAGAAACAAAAATAGGAATACATAAATTGTTAAAAAGAACTGTTCTATCATAAGAGTTACATAGTATCTTGTTGAATGAACAAAACTATGGAAAATTTGGAGAGTTTAGTAGGTTTAAAAAAATTATCTCAGATTGATAACTAATACTAACACAGATTTTTTTCTATATGTTCTTCCTCTCCATTCATATAAAAAATATCATTAGAAGGCTTTGATGTTTCTGTTATAGACTAAAATGGGAAATAAAGTTATGATTCTTACCTCATTGAGATTATCAATAAATTCCCCAATAGAGGCACCATATTTTTTAATTACATAGACGAGTAACCCCACTATTGATATGGTAGAGAAGGTCTCTGGGGTAATCACATATATTTCTTTGGATAGAAAATACAAGATAAGCCCAGTTCCAAGCATGTAGGGTCCTAAAAGAAGAAAGAGTTATATTTAAGTATGTTAAATATTTAAATATAAATATAAATAAAGCAGGGTATAAAGATACTTCTACATTTAATTATTTGAAAGCAAAATTTAGTAACGATTTAAAATAATCATATTCAAAGACAAAACACCAGAATTGAATGGATGAAAGGATTGATGAAAGTGAGAAATAAAGTATATGAAGCACTTAGCACAATAACTTAACAAACAGGAACTATTTCTACAAAGATGTCAGGATACTTTCTTGAAGTAATATGTCCAGTAAACTGTATTATTTATTGAATGGGAACATTGAATAGGACAAAGTTTATCTACTCCTTTCCTATATTTTACTAAATTGCAATCTGACATAGGAAACAAGCAAGAAACAACTAAAATGAAGTCATATGTACATAAAAGGAAGACTATGAGAATTCTGCTCAACTTCTACAACATCTAATAATAAAGTTTCAAATATAGTTATCTTTAAAACAAAAAAGCCAGGTTATGAGTTCTGAAAAGACACAAACCATATTTAGAACACAAACATTTCTTTAGGCTTTTTTTCTGTGCCTCACAAGATGCCAAGCTAGGACACAGAAGGCTTTAGGGTAGCATTTTACAGTGTTTCTGGGCAGCACTAGTAATAACAATGTTAGGATACATTATAGGAGTAAAAGAGTTACAGTCTCAAATACATTTTACCTATTTCTCATACAAAGTTCCAAGTTTCTTAAAAAAAAAAAAATCCCCTTTAGTACATAAGTTTTAAATGTAAATTTGCAAGAAAGGCCTATCATATATAACATTTTAATCATCTATGAATGCTTCTTTTTACAATTTCAGTTAACACTAGGGTTAAAAAACACCTTTGATTTCTATTGCTCTGGTCACAACAGTACTTACTTACAGCAAGAAAGGCAGTGCATGTAACAGAAAGAATCCTAAACTTAATCAGACACAATAAGAAAGGCAGTATAGAAAGAAGGCTGGGCTGGGGATGTGGCTCAAGCGGTAACGCGCTCGCCTGGCATGCGTAGGGCGCTGGGTTCGATCCTCAGCAACATGTAAAAAAATAAAGATGTTGTGTCCACCAAAAACTAAAAAATATATATTAAAAAATTAAAAAAAAAAAAAAAGAAGGCTGACTTAATTAGGGAACCTAGGTTCAAGAAAACAGCCTCAGCAAATTATTTTTCTAGTTCTTCTAGGTAATAAAAATGTCTTCATAGAAATCCTGTAAATTCTCAAGAAATCTTGAAAGAATTTAATACTATTATGTAAAGTCATATTCACTATAAAGATATAAGGTTTTGAAAGTTTCTGCTTTTTTATAAGAACTGAAAATGATGGTACAATTTGTCTTTGTATGCACACAAAATTTAGTAGTCTCTTCTGCTTTATTTGATTACATTTTTATCCATAGCTCTTTTTATTATCTGACAGTGTGCCTAGAATAGTGCTTAACATTGAACCGGCATTCAAAAAATTTGGTATATCACAACAAATGGAAATAATGTTATAAAATTAAGTGAAAAATACCAAATAAATTCATTCCAAAGACAAGTCAGAGCACCAAAATGTCATACTAAATCACCTTCAAAATTTCTTTTTCAAAAACAACTGACCAGAATGGAAGCAGGGTATATCGAAATAGAACAGGTCAGAAATGATGGCAGACGGGAAGAGGGAGAGAAAAATGGTTTGGAGATGGATATATTTTGGAATTATAGTAGTTATGACTTCCTGAGAATTGTGTTGTTGGAATTGAGTAAAGAACAGTATAGAGGATGATTTTTTAAGTGGATAGTGCAGCATCCAATAAGAGATAACCCCAGAAGAAATGAACTTAGAAGGCAGGATCTGGAAGCATGAAGAGAGTTCTGATTAAGTTGTGAGTATCTAAGCTCTAGGAAACAGCCAAATATGCAAATGTCAGGATGACCGGGGTAAAAAGCAGTTTGGATGGTATTCCACTTAGTAGAGGACTAAGGATAAAGTCTCATTCAAAACCTGCTTTCCTATTGACTAATAATACAAAACCAAAACTAAACAAAAAAACCCAACTGATCAGATTTTAGTGCTACCATCCAAATATACTATTAAACACTGGACATATACTCACCTGTTACACCAGTTTTAGGATAAAGAAACTGGAAGAATTCCTCAGGGATCAGCCCAAGACGAACTTTTCCTCCATATTCAGGAAGAGGTGGTAGAGGAGCAAGACGTGGCTGCCCAGTATGAAAGATCCTTGTTGCCTGCAATACCCTATGGGTAATAATTGTACAAATTTAAAACCTCTTCTTCCACGAAAATACAATGTATGAACAATCAGCAGAAACAATGAGTGGGATTGAAGACTGAGGCAATTTCTCACTATCATAATGGGAAATGAATGGAATAAAAATAAGAGGGTGAGGTGTGACAAGGACAATAACTTACACTCTACTGTAAACTTGCACCCAATACTGGAATCCCTTCTATAAGCCTCATAGATCACCGGTCTAGCACTTTGTATGTCTATTATTAAGCAGTAAAATACATGAGAAAATGGATTCTGTAGGTAAGCTCTCTGGGTTAAGATCCTAGACCTGCTACTTGACTTTTAGCAAGTAATTTTAAGCTTTTTTTTTAAAAAAATTTTTTAAAATTTCCTTAATTAGTTGTACATGACAGTGAAATGCACTTATGCACTTTGATATATCACACATAGATAGGATATAATTTCTCATTTTTCTGTACATGTTACAGAATCATATTGGTCATGTAGTCACATATATGCGTACAGTAATAATGTCTATTTCATTGTACCATCTTTCCTGTCCTCACACATCCCCTCCTCCTAATCTAAGGTAACACTATTCTTCCCTAGTGCCCCCACCCCCCACACCTTACTGTGAATTAGCATCTGCATATTAGAGAAAACATTTGGCCTTTGGTTTTGGGGGGATTGGCTTATTTTGCTTAGCATGATATTCTCCAACTCCAACCATTTACTGGAAAATGCCATAATTTTATTCTGCTTTAAAGCTGAGTAAAATTCCACTGAGCATATATACCACATTTTCTTTATCCATTCATCTATTGAGGGATACCTAGGGTTGGTTTTATAGTTTAGCTATTGTGAATTGAGCTGCTATAAACACTAATGTGGCTGCATCATTATAATATGCTGATTTGAGTTCTTTGGGTATAAACCAAGGAGAGGGATAGCTGGGTCAAATGGTGGTTCCATTTCCAATTTTCTGAGGAATCTTCATACTGCTTTCCATAGTGGTTGCACCAATTTACAGTACCACCAACTTTTTTTTTTTTTTAACCACATCCTTGCTAACATTTATTGTTGCTGTATTCTTGATGATTGCCATTCTGATTGGAGTGAGATGAAAATTTAGAGTAGTTTTGATTTGCATTTCTCTAATTGCTAGAGATGATGAACACTTTCATATGTTTGTTGATCAATTATACTTCTGTGAAGTGTCTGTTCAGTTCCTCAGCCCATTTATTGATTGGGTTATTTGTGGGTTTTTTTTTTTTTGTGTTAAGTTTTTTGAGATCTTTATATATGAGAGAGATTAATGCTTTATGGGAGGTGCATGTGATAAGGATTTTCTCCCATCTGCAGGCTCTCTCCTCACATTGTTTACTCCTCAAAGTATTCCATGAAATAGAAAAGGAAGGAACTCTTCCAAATTCATTCTCTGAGGCTAATATCACCCTGATACCAAAACCAGACAAAGACACATCAAAGAAAGAAAACTTCAGATCAATATACCTAATGAAAAAAGATGTAAAAATTCTCAATAAAATTCTGGCAAATTGCACACAAAAACACATTAAAAAGATAGCGCACCACGATCAAGTGGTATTCATTGCAGGGATGCAGGGTTGGTTCAACATACAGAAATCAATAAACATAATTCTTCATATTAATAGACTTAAATACAAGAATCATGATTATCTCAATAGATGCAGAAAAAGTATTTGACAAAATACAGCACACCTTCATATTCAAAACACTAGAAAAACTAGGGACAGTAAGAATATACCTCAAAATTGTAAAAACTATATATGTTAAACCAAAGGCTAGCATCATTCTAAATGGAGAAAAATTGAAAGCATTCCTGCTAAAAATTGGAATAAGACAAGGATGTATTCTTTCATCACTTCTATTGAACATCATTTTTGAAACTTTAGCTAGAGCAATTAGACAAAAGGAAGAAATTAAAGAAGAACTCCAACTACAACTATTTACTGATGACATGATTCTATATCTAGAAGATCCAAAAATTCCACCAGAAAACTTTTAGAACTAGTAAGTGAATTCAGCAAAGTAGCAGGACAAAAATCAACACCCATAAATCAAACACATACCTATTCATCAGCTATGAATTCACTGAAAGAGAAATTAGGAAAATTACTTCATTTACAATAGCCTTAAAAACAAAACAAAACAAAAACCTGGGAATCAATCTAACAAAAGAGGTGAAAGACCTCTACAATGAAAACTACAGACACTAAAGAAAGAAACTGAAGAAAGCCTCAGAAGATGGAAAGATCTCCCATGCTCCTGGATACGCAAAATTAATATTGTCAAGTAGCCATACTACTAAAATCATTATACAGATTTAATGCAATTTCTATTAAAATCCCAATGACATTCTTCACAGAAATAGAAAAAGCAATCATGAAATTTATTTGGAAAAATAAGAGAGCCAGAATAGCTAAAGTAATCCTTAGCAAGAAAAGTGAAGCAGGAAACATCACAATAACAGACTTTAAACAATACTATAGAGCTATAGTAACAAAAACAGCATGGTATCGGCACCAAAAATATACTTGTAGACCAATGATACAGAATAGAGGACAGAGACAAACCCACATAAATATGGTTATCTCATATGACAAGGGCTCAAAAACATTTATTGGCGAAGATAGCCCTATTCAACAAATGGTGCTGACAAAACTGGAAATCCGTATGTAGCAAAATAAAATTAAACCTCTATCTCATCCTGCACAAAAATCAACTCCAAATGGATCAAAGACTTAGGCACTAAAACAGAGACCCTGCGCCTAATAGAAGAAAAATTAGGCTCAAATCTTCACCACATTGGCCTAGGATCCGACTTCCTTAACTTTAAGCTTTTATAATCTCAGATTTCTCTTATGTAAACTGCAAAAAAACAAAAACAAAAACACAAAAAACAAACCAACCAAACAAACAAAAAAACAAAACCCATTATCTTATAGGTTTTTTTGAGGAATGAGTTAATATATAATGTGCTTAGATTGATGCTTAGCCAATAGTAATGTTCTATGTAAATAGATAGCTATTCCATGCCTGCTGTGTTGTAAGTTCCTGAACTTTGAACTTCTTGAATATTCCTTTTGTTGGGCTGTGAATCAGGAAACAATGTGTGAACTATGTAAAACAGAACTTTCAATGTTGGGCTCTAATTATGTTCATCTTTAAATTCAGTTACATCCTTGGAACTTCTATGTAAGATAATACTCATATATCTGGGTTAAATATCTCAGTTCCATCACAATCCTGACTGCTTACCACAAAAAGGAATCTACTTTTTTTTTTTTAATGAGGTATACAGAACTGAACACAATTGTTAGTATAATTGCAGCCATATTCCTTCTTCCCACCCCCACTTTATGAATACTATTCTTATTCCCAAGAAATATAAAGTAGCCCAAGATAAAACCTACTGGCCTGGAGATATGCTGGTCTCTACCTGTTCTCTTAGTGAGAGATAGGAGACAACTTACTGGCCCTTGAGATGGGGATGTACTGCTTTCCCTGTTCTCTCCTTGATAAGATAAAGAGACATGCCAGTTTCCCTGTTCCCCCTTTGAGACAGGAAAAGTGCCTGTCTCTGTTCCCAAGAAACAAACTTGCCTTCCACAAGATCAGAAGATGCTTACCATGTCAGTCAAGACTAAACCTGCCTCTAGCACGTGGCCATGATTCTAGCCTATAAAAGTAACATTCAAGGGGGTGTTGCCGCTGCTTGCTCTTGCTTGCTGCTGCTGTCCCTCTCTATGTGCAGAGCTGCCTTGTCAGGCTCCTGACAATAAATCCACTTCTTATCCCAGGTGTGTGTGATCAGTCCTACCCCACTTTTCTTCCAACAATATTCTAAATATAGCCAGTACTGGGCTTGAACCATTAATCAGTAGATTTGTAAACTATTCTTATGTCCCGTGGAGAGCAAAACTTCCCCACATTTAAAACCACTGACATAAATTATAGCACTGGAGAATTTGCTTTAGGTCAACACAAATCCTCTCCCCAATTGCCTGCATTAGTTAAAGGTTGTATCATCTCTTTCTCAAATTATTGTAAGAATCCAAAATCTGATCTCTCTGCTTCTTGTTAATATTCCTTAAATCTATCCCCTTTATATTACTGCCAATGTTTCTAAAATGCAAATTTGACTTGAAAACTCTTCAATGGGCTCTCTTCTACCTACAGAAAATAAACTAAATATAGCATACATGACACAGTATCTGTCAAGTTTTAAACCTCATTCTCTTACCACCATCCGTATGGAAATACTTAACATGTGCCTTATGCTGCTCCTTCTGCCTGGTATGCCTTTTCTTTAATGATGATTGCCAAAATCAACCAGTCTTCAGAATATCTCAAGCATATACTTTATAAAGGCATCCCCAAACCTTGGCTAACATTTATTCACTTAATCAACAAAACATTAACTGACTTTCAACTTATGCCAGGCACTAGGAACACAGCAATGAACAGACTTAAGTCCTAGTCTTCAACATTCTTATGGGGATGTGAGAAGTATGTGCATGTCCATATACAATTTCAGACAGCTATCAGTGCTGTGAAGAAGATGGAAGGTTAGGACATAGAAAGCAAGGGAGGAGAAAGACTTTATGGTAGGAGGTCAGATGACATTTGACAAACTGGGGAAAAGAGAGAACAACGGGCACAAAGACCTTAAGGCGAGGATGAGCTTGGTAGTTCAGAGAAACAGCAAGGCCTGTATAACTTAAAAATGAGCTTAAAAAAAAAAAAAGTAATAAGATGAAATCAAGAAGTAGGATGGTTCTGATTCATGTTGGGGTTTCTGGGTTATGCTCAGTTTGCATTTTATTTCAAGTGGAATAGGAGCTCTGAAGGTTTCAGATGGAGTCTGACATAATCCCTCTAGTTAATGTAAAAATGGGTTCTACTGGGACAAGAACAGAGACACGAAGTCAGGCGTGGTGGTGCACACCTGTAATTCCAGAGACCTGGGAGGCTGAGATAGAAAGATCACAAGTTCGAGGCCAGCCTCAGCAACTTGGTGACATCCTGTCTCAAAGTAAAAAATAAAAAGGGCTGAGGATGTAGCTCAGTGGTAAAGCAGCCCTGGGTTCAATCCCCAGTACAAAAAAAAAAAAAAGCTATTGAAAACAGGCTAGGTGAAAATTATGATGGTTCACACTTCAGTACTAGTGGTAATGGAAGAAGTTGTCAGTATCAAAACATAATCTGAAGGAAGAGGCTTGCTGATGTGCTGGAGATGGAGTGTTGAAAGAAAATGAAGGATGTTCTTTATATCTTTTATACACAGTTATTTAACCCATTACCTATATCACAATAATTTTTAATATGTTCTTTTTCTCTGATAAATTAGAAGTAGCATATTATAGCCAAAAGGTAGTTATCAAATTTTGCAAGCTTTAGGATTAAGTTAAAAAAGAAATCTCAAAGAAAACTGACATTTTTCTGGTGGTGCTGGGGATGGAACTTAGGGCTTCATATGGTAGGCAAGGGCTCTCCTACTGAGCTGCATCCCCAGTTCCAAACTGACATGTTTGAGGAAATAATTTTAATAGTAACATCTGCTAATATTTACTAAGCAATACTATGTGCCAAGCACTGTTTTTATTTTCACAGAAATCAAGTCTCCTAATCCTCATAAACCACAATGTACTATTATATCTTATTTCAGGTGTGCAAAATGAGATCTCACAATTACTAAGTGGTGAGCCAAGTATAACCTTTTCTACCTTAGGAACCCTCACTCTAAAACAGTACTCAATAGCTGCCTCTATGCCTAGATTGCCCGAGAGTTCAGCCTTACACGTTACTGCACTTATGGTTATGGAGTGGAAACATTTACTGAATCAATTAATGATTTCTCTGATTCTTAGAATCCAGCAGTAAAAGCAGGAATCGCGGGGGGAGGGGGCACTGAAAGCAACACGATTCACTTTCTTATTTTACAAAATTTGGCTTGGTTACGCTCTATTTAGGCTGTGGCAGCTACGTGTAGCTGAAGGTCATAGGGAAAGGGGCGGGGCATAGAAGACATCAAAACCAGTTTCTGGTCTAGTAAGATACTCTTAAAGTCTTTGTCATTAGGTGATATGATAACGTTCCTGGCAGTTACAGGAACATGTTTGAAGTGTCTCAAAATTATGCAAAAAGGTAACATCTGACCTAAAGCTAAGAGGAAGAAACAGAGAATGGAACGAGGTGGTAAACAAGGGCAAAAGGGAGAACTACACTCCTCACACTTACCCTGGTCCTAGGACTGCTGCATTCTTGAGACAGGGGGCTGCAGATACAGAAGATGCAGGTAAGCAAAGTCAATATGAAATTTAGTTTGCCCCGTGCTCAGTCTCCAAGAGGCCGGAACACTACAAGCCGTGCACCATTTTCCAGTGCCCCGAGACCCTGTGCCCTCTTCCCCGTGCCGCGATCACTCCCCACTCAGGCCCAAATGTCGCTCCGCTTTTCTCACCCACTTTCCCCCTCCCTGTGACCTCTAGACACTCTTCTTTCCAATCACCCCGCTAGCCTAGACCCGGGTCTACACCTCTCACCTGCTTTGGCGGCGGCAGAAAGTACCACCCGGGAGAGCATGGTCACCAAAAGTCCCCGCACCAGGTTTCGTGTCCCTGTGACCCCAAGCAGAGACTGTCAGGGGCAGGAGGAAGATGGCTGCTTACAAGTCTCGCGAGAAGAGAATATCGCGCCCTCTTCAGCTTTCCTCTGGCGATTCCCCCCACCACCACCCTTCTTCTTCTCGCGAGAATAGGTACAATGCTCTGAGAACCTGTAGCAGGAGGGCGGCCGACCGAAAGAAGGATGCAAGTATAGAAGCAATTCTCGCGAGAAGTAGAGTTGCCGTCGCTTCCAGAGGGGCGGAGGCCCGGAGGTGCACCACGTGTGGGTTACTGCTCGAGCTGAATCGCGGAGACTTAACAGTTTGGGTTTAGGTTGGATTTGGAACCGTGGAGATGCGAAAGGAAACGCCGCCCCCCCTAGTAGCCCCGGCTGCCCGGGAGTGGAACCTTCCCCCTAATGCGCCCGCCTGTATGGAACGGCAGTTGGAGGCTGCGCGGTACCGGTCTGGTGAGCCGAGATCCCCGGCCTGGGAGCTCCCACGCCCCGGCCCCGGGGCGCCCCACCCTGGACTGACCCTCCCAACCCGCCCTGTCCCACGTGCCGTCCTGATCCTTGCTTTGCGCCATCGAAGTGTCCCAACCCCGCCCCACAGTCCCGAGCTCCGATCCAGACCCGGCCCGCGTGCTGTTCTGTGCGGTCACCATGGAGACGAGCCCATCCACCCCTGTCACGCTGACAGATTGTACCCCCCCTAGATGGGGCGCTTCTGCTCGGGGCCTCCAGCCTGAGTGGCCGCTGCTGGGCTGGCTCCCTCTGGCTTTTCAAGGACCCGTGTGCTGCCCCCAACGAAGGCTTCTGCTCCGCTGGAGTCCAGACGGAGGCTGGAGTGGCCGACCTCACTTGGGTGGGGGAGAGAGGTATCCTCGTGGCTTCTGATTCAGGTGAGGTCATTCCCTTTATCTTCCCCACCACGCCCCACCCAGATGGAATGTAGGCTTAGGGTCCAGCTGGGATCAATCTTTGATTTCCCCTTACTCAGTGCTTGGAGGAGCTGACAGTGTTGCCCCCAGACGCGAACTAGGTGAAAAGCAGCTAAGAATGTTGTTCCAAACGCGAACTCTAGTGTAGATGAAAAGTATGTTTTCCCAGTTCTAAAATTGCCTGATGGGGGTTCCTAGAAAAATCCATAATAAAATTAAGAAACAGTTTGTAATCTCTCTGACTTCTGCAGCCCAGACCAAGGATAATCTTGATTTTGAAGATGGTGCTGAAGTTAGACTGTCATCCCATTTCTTCCCTTTTTCTTTTACTTCTCTCCATTCTGCTGTCTTGTTTTGAATGTCAGCCTCAGCAATGGAGGGCTTGGCATTTAAAAAACGCCACATTTAGAAGTTGGCAGGCATTGATCAAATGGAAAAGTAGGACACTAAAGATCGAGCATCTCTGACAGTTGAACTTGAAGACTGCATGACATTTATTGAAATAGTTCAGCAAATATTAGTGTCTGATTAATTCGGAAGGCTTAACATCAGTGGACTGTGTAGACAATTATGTAGACTTCATCCTGGAAACTGATTTTCCAGTGTTCTCTCACTGGAAGGAGAAGAGTGGATTTCAAAGACTAGTTCAGCATTCCCTGCCTTTTTCTAGCAGCTTTCCCCACACAGTTGACTAGGCTGTTATTTGCAAAACAGAAAGGCAGGATAAAACCAAATGACCTGGAAGTTGTTTAGCTAAGTCCTCAATGTGAACTTTGCTATTATAGGAATAACTTTGTTAGTTTAGTGACAATGGCTGCTTGAGTCCTAGATGTGAATTACTGTCTTTGTATGATCCAAGCTCATGTATCCTCACCCCTTCATCTCACCCAACTCTATCCTCAACAGGTGCTGTTGAATTGTGGGAGCTGGATGAGAACGAGACACTTATTGTCAGCAAGTTCTGCAAGTATGAGCATGATGACATTGTGTCTTCAGTCAGTGTCCTGAGCTCTGGCACACAAGCTGTCAGTGGTAGCAAAGACTTCTGGTGGGTCTCAGTTCTCATCATTCCTGTTTCTTAAGCTTCCTTTGGGTGTCTTTAGTGTCCTCTTAATCTCATTAAGTAATGTTTGGTGCTCAATATAAGAACCCAGTGACTAATTTGCAGCATGTTTATAAGATTTCCTTAGAGATTTGACAATCTATTGTAAATAGACAATGGCGGGAATCCAGGAGGCAAAGACAAGGGACATGTTGGGTAAAGGAAGTTCATATTTGCATTGATAGTATATGTCAAGATTATAATCTTCTGTTTCTTTTGCTTTTTAGCATCAAGATTTGGGACCTTGCTCAGCAGATAGTTTTGAATTCATATCGAGGTATGCATTGCTTCCTTGCCTGATCTTAGCTCTCTTATTTTTATTCACTCATTTGGGATCTTTAAACTTTGCTTAGATATTAGGATGATTTTTGTTTTTCTGCCTGATATCTTTTTTCCTAAAACTGTAGTCAGTCTCCAATACCTACTCCATATCTCTCAGTTACCTTATTTCTGTTAACTGTCTTTACTTCATAGCTACATTAGGTTCACATTCTGTCCTCTTCTACTCCTCCTATTTCCCCACTATCAGCTGTTCACCAAGGTCTTTTGAGTCTTTTTCAGTTTGGTCAATTACCTTCTTATCCATCTTTTATGTCCGATTCAGTTTTAGGCTTTGCCTTCTACAGATGGTGGTTCATCTCTCCATCTATAATCTTTGGCTTATCGGTCCTTTATTGTTTTCTTGCAGATTGAAGTCCCATTTTCTTGTTGGGACAATTCAGGCCCTTTTGCTGTCATTCTTCCTTCTAGAATACTGCAGTAGCTTAATTCAGGTGTAGTAGACTCTTGACACTCTCATGGAATAAGCCCTGAGATTTTGAATATTGAATTTTTTTGAATATTCATGTCCATAAATAGTCTGCTTTCTGGAGTGTGCCATTAATGTGTGTGCCGTTCTTTAATGTTGCTCTTTTTTATTAACAGTGTTAGCAGTTGACTTTGTTTGGTTAGCCATTTTTTTAAATTGTTTTTTAGTTATAGGTGGGCACAGTATCTTTATTTTATTTTTATGGGGTATTAAGGATCAAAGCCAGTGCCTCACCCATGCTAGGTGAGTACCCTACCTCTGAGCCACAACCCCAACCCCAGGTAGCCCTTCTTTATAAAATAATAGCTAGAGCTTTGATATATGTTTGACTGTGAATTTAGAATCATTGTAGTTCTTTCAAGGGCTTAATTCCTTTACCTTCTACTTCTAGTTTCTAAGTGCTTAATTCAGCATGGGCCCAAATAAAATCCTGTACTTGAAAATAGTGATAGGTAGTCAAACAATAAGTGTTTGTGCTTAAAATCTCCTATACTTGTTTTTTTTTTTTTTTTTTTTTTTTTTTTTTAGTACCAGAGATTGAACCTGTGGTGCTTAACCACTGAGCCACATCTTCAGCCCTTTTTGTTTTTTTCATTTTGAGGCAGGGTCTTGCTAAGTTGCTGAGGCTGACCTTGAACTTGGGATCCTGATCCCCCTGTCAGCCTCCTGAGCTGGAATTACAGGCCTGTGCTACAACGCCCGAATTGCTTTTTATTTCTTGAATATATGATATATTCTTGGTTAATTCTAACTTTTTGCACATTCCCCATTTCATCTTCTTCATCAGTACTTTGTGTTTATGTCTTATTCCCCCATGAATTCCAAGTCCTTTGAGGTAGAGGAATCATATATTCTTCATTCTTTTGTATATTGCCATGGTGTTTGTCCAGAGCTTTGCTTTTTTTCAAGTGAGCATATATTCCTTTTCTGACTCAACCATCCTGTTGTCTTTCCATGAGTTCTAGGGCTAGGAAACAAATATGGAAGGTAGTTTAATCCTTGAGATGAGGCTACATTCAGACTACCTTGGAAATTCTGGTTAAATGACTTTAGATATGGTAGTTTTTACAACCTCTAGTTAACAAGTAGCAATGATTTGAAAATTTTTCTGCATGTAGATCTCTTAATAAGATTAAAAGCTACACTTCCTTATATATTTTTTAAATTGATACCTAGAAGATTTTGAGTTTTTAAGTAGTTGCAAAGAAGGTAATTTCTGGCATATGATTTATTGTATGCTTATTCCAAACATAGATTTGTCAAAATTTTGGATTTGCAGAGTAAACCCATTTATGTAAAACATCTATCAAATAACCTAATGGCAAAAAACAATCTACATTGTTAAATCAGTTGGCCAAATTCAACTTCATTTTCTATCAGAAAAAGTCTGACTTCATTTATAAAAAGAGAAGCTTATTAAATGTGTCTTTATGACAACCATCTATCTTATTTTTCATTTCTCATTATTAGAAACAGGGAGATAAGTTAAAACTTGTGGTGTCGCTGAAGCAAGATCAGTCCCCTTTACTGAATTTTACCTAGATACTTTTTTTGTTCTTTGGCTCTTAGGGAAAATTTCCTTTTGACACTTAGTTTGGGACTCTTAGATTTTTATATACCTGAGCATTGTACAATGGGAAGATTTGGGCTCGGCAAGAGGTATATGTTCCTTTTATAAATTGTTTGGAGGGTGATTTTGAAAGTACAGACAGTTCAATTTTAGGAAAGAAAACATGGGAGGAATTGATTTGCTTAAAACTCTCAGCATCCACAACTGCCTTGAAAGTTTTTGTATATTACTCGAGGTATGTGTATTCCAGTATGAAAACTGCTTTCCTGGATTTATTTAGCTCCTACATTCATGATATTCTAATTGAGAATGCCTCCACTGTTCTTACCAAGGCTCTAATTTCTCCTTCGTCATCTTTACTAATTCACTTTTCTTCTGGCTCTTTTAGGTTGTATAATTTATCAACCTTTTTTCTTAGATTTGTCTAATCCGTAAGCCCCCCCAAAATTGTTAAATTGGATCATGAGACCAGGTCTGTTTTTCACACCCTCTTGCCCCTTGATTTTATCTAGGCTGGCCTTGTAATATTCCCTGTCTCTTCTCTGTAATGTATCTCTCTGTCCTTTACAGCTCATGCTGGACAGGTCACCTGTGTTGCTGCCTCTCCCCACAAGGACTCCATGTTTCTTTCCTGCAGTGAGGTGAGATATAACCTCTTTCCTCCAACCACAACCTGTCCAACAGCTGCTTCTTTAGATTCTGAAGACTTTTTTTTTTTGGGTTTCTCCTCCTAGGATAATAGGATTTTACTATGGGATACCCGCTCTCCCAAGCCAGCATCACAGATAGGTGAGTCTGAGAGCCAGAGGTGGGAGGCTGGGACTAGAAAGCTACCTGGAAGAGCCTTTTTTTTTTTTTTTTTGCCAGAATCAAAGCAACGTTTCTTGGTACTCTGTCACAGTGACATAGTGATATGATCTCCTTTCTTGCTGAGGCTCTGCTAACTTCATTCTGTGCAATGAGTACCAAGAAGGGCTGGTTCCTGGGTGGGCAATTTACTCTGCAAAGCTAAACAAAGAGGCTAGAATTGTTATTTTATGCATTGTGCTTGAAACTTTCCTGTGACTCATGCCCACAAACAGCAGAAAACTGATGGATAAATATAGGTTATTAGATTCAAGGATGAGGACATGACTGCATGAGGGATTGGGAAAAAGAAAAGTAGTGCTCCTGGGATTTAGAGTGACTGCTTTGAGAAATTGCTTCTTCTGAGTTCTGTTCCAAACCTCTTCTTCTCTTTTTTTGCAGGTTGCAATGCCCCTGGCTACCTTCCTACCTCCCTGGCTTGGCATCCTCAACAAAGTGAAGTCTTTGTCTTTGGTAAGGCAGCGTGCCGGATTGCATATTGACTCTGGGAAGGGGAGGATGAGGAAGAGCTAATTCATGTTGCATGTACTATTGCTATGTGATGTCACTGATTCATTTGGACACTAGATAAATTGTGCTCATTTTAGTTTAACCTTGGAGATGACGATTTTTTTTTCCCCAGTTGATTAGATTCCTGATTACTCTGGCTCCCCTATTCTGGGCATGGCTAGAAATTAGCCACAAAGTGAGTGGATTGCTAGGTAGTGTATTTTGTTCTACTGTGGGTGGTTATGGTGCTGTGATGGGAAGGAGGCTTGCATATTGTAACAATTTGGGACTAAAATCATAACTGCTTCATCTTAATTTTCATGACCAGCCAGTGACTTATTGTTTCCACTTTGCTAAAGAAGAAACCAGTGCTCAGAGTGGTTAACTTATTCAAACGTGAGAAAGGATTCAAATCTCGTTCTGGCTCACCCCAAAGCACATATTTTTAACCACTTGTGACATGCTCTCTTATATAGGTGATGAGAATGGGACTGTCTCCCTTGTGGACACCAAAAATGCAAGCTGTTCCCTCAGCTCAGCGGTGCACTCCCAATGTGTCACTGGGCTAGTCTTCTCCCCACACAGGTACTGTTCTTTGTCATCAGAGGTCTGGTGGATATGAAGGGGCTGGTGAGGGGGGTGTGGGGGATGCATATGTTGGCAAAGCATTAGATGATATGGTTGTTCTGTAAGGTAGGCTGTGCTCTAGCTGAGTTTTCCAAGTATCAAAGATCTCTTGAGACTGTAGTTGCTTATTTGGGTTGTACAGACTGTAGGTTTCTTATTTGGGTTTTCTGAAAATGGCTGAAATATGATCTCATTCTTGCTCAACAACCAAAATGATTAATATTTTGGGGTTCTAGGACTGTGTTGTTGAAAAAGCCTGGGTTCTTGCTAAAACAGTAGAAGGACCAGATGGGATGGTTCATTGCCAGGAATGATTATGAACCCTGGTTTTGCTCCATTTCCCTTATCTTTCCCTGGAACTTGGTAGTGAGACTTTAACCAAGAGTGAGAATCAGGCTGCCTTCTCCTCTGGGTCAGTTTACAGTTGGCTGGGACCAGCCCATTTGGGGCTTTGTCTTAGAGTCGTGGACTTTACTTTTCATGTCCTTCTGTGCCCTCTCCTAGTGTTCCCTTCCTGGCCTCTCTCAGTGAAGACTGCTCACTTGCTGTGCTGGACTCAAGCCTTTCTGAGGTGTAAGTGTAACAGGAGGGCTGCACATCTGGGAGGGGGAACAATGGACAAGCAGGTCCTTTTTCTCTTTAAAGAAGTGTATTGCCTCTTTGGAGGGATTTTTCTCCATCTGTATTTGAGAGTCCTTGGTGCTGGAAGCAAGCAGACTATAGACCACCTCTCTAGTCGTGGGCTGATTCACAACCAGCTGTGTCCCTAATAGAGGACTATGGGTGGTGGGTGGAATTTCTAAGTAGCATTCCAGCCCTCTCCCACAGTGGGGCAGTCTACCCTTTTCACATGGAGAATGTGGATATGAAATGCATCCTGCTCTAGGGTAAAAGGCACTGGACAGATGATCTGAGTTGTACATCCCTCTTTGCCGTGATTTGCTGCCTAACGCTGGCCCACATCACTACCTCGCTCTATCCACCATTTCTTCATCTATGAAAATAGAGGACTGGATTGGATGACTGATGACATCCACTGTGGATAGCTACACTACTCTCCTGATGATGAGGCCATACAGATGGTGAAATGTATCTCATACATCAAAAAATGTGCCCTGGGTGTTGGGTTCTCTTTCTTCTTCAGGTCTTCTTTTTCTTCTTCTTTCAACCATGTTAAACATTTCCCCCCACTTTTCTTTGTTCTAGGTTTAGAAGCCGAGCCCACAGAGATTTTGTGAGAGATGCTACTTGGTCTCCGCTCAATCACTCCCTCCTCACCACAGTGGGCTGGGACCATCAGGTCATCCACCATATTGTGCCAACAGAACCTCTCCCAGCCCCTGGATCTGAAAGTGTTGCTGAGTAGATTGGATTTAAGAAAGAAAGTAAACCTCTCCTAAGAATCCACTCCTTTGCCTCTGACCCCTCCGTTTGTGAGACAACAGAGGAGCCTTGGATGTTATACCCTAGATCTGTGTAGTTCATAGGCATTGTTTCTCAGTGTGAAGGAGGCTGGATTTTGGTATCCTATAGTCACAGGAAGGAAAAACTTTCTTGCAAATGGATATATATGTGTGCCTCAGTGTACATGAAGATCTATAGTTTTTGGTTCTGGGGGAGACTAAAAAGAATTGATTTCCATCTTTCTCAAGCACATCTCTCCCCACAAAAAAAAATCGACAAAATATTTTATGCTTCCCGTGTAGTTTTCTATGAATTGGCTGTGTCTGAGTCGGGTATGAGATGTGGGCATCCCTGGGTTCTTGTAAGCTCTTAGGCTACTTAAAGATAGGTACAGCTTTAATTTTTTTTTAATGGAGCTTGATTTACCATTATTACGGGAAATGCTTCCATTTGCAAAAATCCAGCCCAACTACTTGACAAAGAGATAGGATACACTCACCGAAGTTTTGCACAGCTCCTTGCCATTAAACTGAATTGAAGTCCATTTTTATTGGCTGAATAAAGAGTTTGGCTAGTGCTGGTATAATGCCTCCCTGACCCCCATGGCTTTGTGTTTATGAAATATAAGTGTTTTTCTGGCATAGCTTCACAGAGCAAAGTTTAGGGTGGTGGAGAGCTTAAATCATTTCAATGAAGTTAGAAAACTGACATAGACTCTTACAGGGACATCTTTATCACCTTTGCTACCCCAAAAAACAGCCTGAGGACTGACCTGCCTCTGGGCCCTTTCTCTGGACATAGGAAGTCTGCTATATTTGTAGACTCCTAAGATTTTGCAATCCAGCATCAGGGAGAGAATTAGGAATATCTATTAAATAAAGAGTTTAGGCATTGTTTGCCTGTCTTTTTTGAAGCTTTTATGTTATCTGCACTTAGACACATTTCCACTTCTGTGAATTATCAGTGTCAGCTTAGCCCATAGCTCTTTCTCTGTTTCCTCAGTTCCCAGAATAGTTACTTAGAGATGAAGGTAAATGTTTTTTTACTCCTTGGGTTGGATTTAACTGGCCACTGCCATTTAAAATCAGATAAATTACTGATTGTATTGAAACAAAATATAATCAATTATATACTTAGGAACTTTGCAAGTTTAAATTAGGGAAGATCATATAAAACTAGGGCAGTTTGAATATGGGCAAAATATTTCTAAGTAAAGCTTCTGTATTTCATTCTTGCTAATCCTGAACTCTCTGTTCTCATGGGAATGTATAGTCATGTGATCTCCCAGAGTTAGGGCAGGGAAAGAATACATTCTTCATTGTTCTAACTATTACTTCCTGGGGAGGAGTAGGATGATTAACTGGAATTAAGTTCTGCTTCTCTTTTGTGACCTTTTTTTTTTTTTTTTTTTTAACAGCTCCTTAAACTTGGAGATAATGATAATTCTTTCTAACCATAAAATCTGAATTTACGTTTAAGAGTCCAATTAGAACCAGTCAGCAGATAAAACTTAAATTCTGTGGTTACTTAGAGGAAATAAGGAAGGGGCATAACATGGGCATTATATTTTCAGTATTTCTTTTCCTCTTAAGAATAGTGGAGGAAAAAACTTAAGTGAAAGAGATGAGACTCCACGGAAATGTGTGTATGTATTAAGGTGGCTAAAACAACATTACAGAAGGAAGAGTTTTACAAGAAGAAAAACATCTTTGGCTTCAGATGTATCTGTGCTGATGAGAGTAATTCACTTCTATTAATGATTGCCACAAGACATATGAAAACATAATCAAAGTAACGCAGGAGGGACCAGCACAATTTTCAATGTATGTTATGGTGAGCCAAGAAGATAGTTCAAAATAGAAGGTGACCTCAAAATAATCAGGAATATGATGTCATTTGGGGCAATTGTCCACTAGGTCTTTGTCATGAAAAGAGTTTCAGTAGAGTGAGCATGGAATTTACCTACAACAGGGAGCAATGGAATTGCTTTGTTTAAAAGCATACAAACACCCTGATCTTGGGGAGGGGGTGCAGGATTACCCTTCTTCCCTATCTAGGCTGAGTAATCTTGTCCTGAGGACACCCACCACATGAAGTAGAAATCTCCAAAATTAATAAGTGAATTTTGACCCCTGTTAGGCACAAGGTGGTGGAGGGGTGTGTGTGGGGGGGAAGTGGGGTGGTGGTGGTGGTAGGAGATGTTGCCTTTAAATCACCTCTTTGTCCTTGAGTGTTCACCCACCACATGAAATAGAAATCTCCAAAATTAACCAGTGAGTTGTAACCCTAGTCAGGCACATGGTGGGGTCAAGGGGAGTGTAGCCTTTGAATCACCTCTTGAAAAGCTCTTCTGTTTTCCCTGATAGGTAGAATGGCAGACTCTGGGACAGGTGTCCCCAGTATATTTCCTTCAGTAGCAAAGCAATAAAATTAATGTTATTCCTTTTTCTAAAAAAAAAAAAAAAAAATCACACACACACAAAGGAAAATGTCTTGCATTTAATTTCACTGATTCAAATTTTTGAATGTGAAAGTGAATCCATTCAATTTAATTATTCTGAATCCACTGTATTCCACTGCTGATTTCTGGCAAGGACTACTCAAGGCTCACTCCTTGAGTAATACTTGGAACCAAAGAACACTGGAGAAGGTTTACCCAGATTCAGCTGGTGTCAGACATTGGGCTGATTCTCAGGGATCTCACTAGCTTCAGGGAATGTAACCAGTTCACAATCATTACAGCATCAGAAACATCCAAGCTCTAATTGCTGGAACCTCTAGTCATGTTTCCTCAGGACAGCATGTTAGAAAGGAAGGAGATGTGGGTGTTAGGGAACAAATGTCAATGGTGGGAACACAGTTCTGTAAACTGGGCTTACTGTGCCGGTCCCCCACATGCTTTATTTTGCAAGAAGCAATTTATCTGCAGCCCTGCCTGGCTTAAGTGAACAGGATATGTTACATTCCTCAGCAAACTACCTGTTAGCCATAGGAGAAATACAGGCCTGAAATAATGTCAATAAGAGGAACCAAATTAACCTGAAGGGGGAGACTTTTTGTGACTTTTTTTTTTTTTTTAAACCAGCTCTTAAACTTGGGAGATAACGATAATTCCTTCTAACCATAAAATCTAAGAATTTATGTTTTAAGAGTCCGATTAGAACCAGTCAATATGGGCCTAAGTGACCTAAAGTTATCATGGTAGTGGAGACTTGAAAGTCTAATACCATTCTGCTGTCAGTCAAAGGTTAAGAGATGAATCTGGGTGGGCCTCTGGAAACTTATCTGGGATACCCAATAAAATAAGTGCAGAAGAGGCACACATCCCTCTTTTTATTTACTCATTTTTCTTTGCATTATAATTCTTAATACATCGTTGTACAATAATTTATTATATCTCTGATTATATATAAGGTACGGTGACACCAAATTCACATCTTCATACATGTATTTTGTATAATGATGAGGGTCTCCTTCATCCCTCTTCTAATAGGACCCACTCCTCCTGGAGAGTGCCCCCTTTCTCTTTTCCTATCCTTTCAATAAACTCTTGCCAGTTACTTTGAGCTACATGTGTGAAATTTTTTACTTGATTGTAAGAATTTCTTTAGTTCTCAAGTAAAAGACATTTGTAAATGTCAGGAGAATAGGCTAGGCACCAAGGAGGGATATTTTCCAAGTATCCAGGTGGGAGTATAAAAAAAGCATTAATTGCATTTATTTTTCCTTTTGACAGCAAGAACTCAAGGGAGAGGATTGTGAGCAAACAGAGCAACATGACACTGATTTTCGACATAACGCTCATTCAGCATTTTATTATTCATCATTTGCTATACACACAGAGTTGTAATTGCCAACTCTGGTATTGTCATCCCTGAGTTAAGCAGAGGTCATTCCTGGGCTCTCATTGTTAGATTTTGGCATTCTTGGCATCATCAATCACTTTTGTAGATATGGAGAGGTCTCTGAGATCCAGCCACAAGCACTGCAGTAGGATAGGAGCCCAGAGAACCCACTCAGGTGCAGATGAACGAGGTTCAGATTGGCAAAGAAATTTGGCTTCTGTGATGGGTAGAGCATTAATGGCTGGTCCTGGCTGAAGTGTGAGTATAAGGGCAAAAACTTAGTAGGGAACCTCAGTGATGTGGAATCTCTGGTGGCAGGGGATGCAGTGTGGGGTAGGGAGCCTGAGAAGTAGAGAGAGGCAGGCTTTCCACATTAAGAAGGTCGTAACAGAGCCATGAGGCCTCAGGCTGTTCAGTAGAAGGAGCCTGGAATGACTCAGGCCCCAGACCCTAGGAACCAACTGCAAGCTAATGGTTGCAGAACAGGAATAGACATCAAAACAGACCCAGTAACAAGAATTAGAGCAGGCAAGTAGGAATTGGAAAGCAAGTAAGAGCATGGTCATTGGAATTAACTAAACACACCAGGAATCTTCTTCCCAGTAGTAGAAGTTGTGCCAAGTCTGACCCAGTGTGGACCTCAGGAGGTGTAATTCTCATCTCTTTATTCAGGCTAATAGTAGTTAAAGGTATGGAGGGCACAGGTGAGACTCAATTGGCCCCAGGTATGGTATATGGTAGGAATGGGATATCATGTCTGACAAGAAAACTTTTTTGTTGTTGTTTTCCTCACTGCACCCATAATGCTACTTCTCCAAAAAGACACACTTCAGCTCTAGGGACATGATCAATCTGTTCACTAGACCACAGGTCACTGAAAGAAGAAACTAAATTTTTAGTGCCCAGCAGGGCCTGGCACAGGCCCAAAGAATATTTTTTGAACTGTTTATTGAGTATATAATGGAAGGCAAAGATGGTGAACAAATGGACACATCATCTCGGTTGGGTGCAGTCCATCAGGATTTCCCAGAGTTTCAGTGAAATATCCCCTCCAAACATTCTGTACCATTGATTATCTTTATTCCATTGTATCCAAGCAAGCTAGTGATTTTAAAACAACAGCTTTCATGGTTTCTTCATACTAGAAATGAAGATAGATATTATGGAGATTTGATCACTGGTCATTATTAGTCCCTGTCGTGTGTTACACTGACATCTGCTTAGTACCTCATGTTGGTACATGTGGATTAGCAGCACAAGTCTCTGAGAGGATGGGTACATGGTTGAGAACTTCTGCATCAGACAAAGAAAACTGATGAATCCTCAAAGCCCTGACTGACAGACCTGTTTTGTTTATCTTCATACTGTTGCTATATTTTTAAAAAATTGATTCTCAGTTATCCAGTATCATATTTACCATGTTCTTTTTTTACCTTGTGAATTCTAGATTTTTTTTTTTTATATTTAGCATCCTCTTGAGATTCATGATACATGCTCATTACTGACCTATATACTAGCTCAAACACTGTTGATTCATACAAATGCAGGTTTTTGTCTTCTGTGGAGAAATCAAAGGATCTATCAATCCTGGGCCCATTTCCCTGCAGGACAACCATTTCAAGCTGCTCAGAGTTGCCCCTATTCATACTTATCTCCATTGTCTCCTAGGAGGGTTCATGTCTGTAGATGTTTGTCTCTGGGTTTAGCTGCTATTCTAATAATGTAAAGAGTGCTCCATTTGACATGTTTACATGACCTGCCTGGTGAGTGTCAACATCTGAGTTTGAGAATCCAGCTCTTTTGGGTAACCCTTTTGACATCCCTAATAATAGAAACCATTTATTGAGCCCTTGAGTGCAAAGCACTGAACTAACAATTTTCATGCATTACTCCTTTAATCTCTATAAACCCTGTAAGATTAGTATGAGCTGTTACCTCCATTTTATAAACTGAATCTCACAGAGGCTAAGTAACTTGTCCATGATTATGAAACTTCTAAACAGTGACAGTGAGATTCAAGTCTTGGATTCAAAAGTCTGAGTCCAAGCTGAATTTTTAAAGTTTATATCACACTGTTTCCCCAATCAATAAACTTGTAACAGTAGACTTAACTATTTTCATACAGTGTTTCTCCACCATACTCGGTCCACTTGGGGCTGAATACCAGGAAGTGAGACTGAGAAGCAGGAAGAGCTCAGGAATGCTGCCCTACCCTTGCCATTGCTCATGGTGGACACTCAGTTTGTGTCAGCCAAGGGCTGCGACTTTGTTGGCTCCAAGATCCACAGCTATTCTGGAGAGGGAGGACAGGAGGTTCTGGGGTCACTGTGACTCTCATAAATCATTGATCCTGGCGTGTGTGTGTGTGTGTGTGTGTGTGTGTGTGTAGTTGGCCTGTTCAGGGCTAAAGCTAGCTCCTATAAATGGGCCCAAACTTTGGCCTCACAGCTGTTAAACCACCAAGATGGGGAAGTTGTGGCTATGGGTTGGTGAGTATTGACAGTTTCCAGCAATGTCACTCAGTCCGGGAGTTACCAGCCTTCATGTGTTGTTGTCTCTTCAGTGCTCAGTAGAGCAGCCAGCCTGGGACTCTGGGGGCCTGGATTAGATAGAGATGGGTTGGAATATAGTGAAGGGTCAGAGATAACCTGGAGTGGGGAGGTTGGAAGTAGTGGTTCTCCAACCTGGTTGCATATTTGGTGTTTTTAAACCTGAGTTCCACTTTGGCTCAATTAAATCAGAATCTCTGAGGGAAGAGCCAGGATACCAGTACCTTCTTACTTTCCATCCACTGGCTTAGAGCTTTCACTGGGACGTCTAACTCCTTGTCCCTGTGCAAAGTGTGTGTGTACAGTACTTTTTATTAGAGAGAAGAGGAATGTAGATCTAGCTCCACTGGCTCAACCTCAGAGGAGAGGAAATGTGTGAATGGTGTGTGTGTCCCCATGTATGCATCTGCATCTGGACATGGTGCCCCGTTGGTGGGGGCACTTGCTGACTGGATGGTATGTAGGGCATCCCACTCTGGATGTGTACACAAATCTGTGTGTGACTCTTTCTTTCTTTCCTGCAGCTCTGTTTCTTGTACTGAAACACCAGAAAGGTAAGAAAATTGTGTTCTCCCCTCCAGAGCCAAGGAGATTCTCTGGCTGTTAAGTCATCTGCACTGAGTGTCCCTTGCAGCCCCATCCTGCCCAGGCGCCTAGATGGGGGATTACTGATTCCATGCAGCTCTGCAGAGGAAGTTTGATCACCTGCAGTTTGTGTTGCTCACTGTTATATCAGGATCCAGACCGGAGGGTCCAGTGAGAACAGGACTTCACAACTCATCTCCCCACTCCCAGAACTTCAGTAGTGGGGAAGAGACCGGACCTCAAAAAGCTTTGGGGCATGTGGATGGGGAGAGTGGCCTCTTGGCCCTGCCCCCTCCCTTGATCTCTGCCAACTAATGCATGCTGTCCCTGATCAGGTGCTGCCTACAAGCTGGTATGTTATTTCACCAACTGGGCACCTGGACGCCCTGAATCTGCCTCCACCTTCCCCCGTGACCTGGACCCCTTTCTCTGCACCCACCTGATATTTGCCTTTGCCTCAATGAGCAACAATCAGATTGTTCCCGAGACTCTCCAAGATGAAAAAATTCTCTTCCCACAGTTCAACAAACTCAAGGAGAGGTATGTTCATATGGGAGGTGGGGTTGTATTTTCAGACTTTATAGATATAAGGGAATTAAGCCCATTCTTCCAGTTGCATTCTTTCTTCTGGTTGTTCTAGCCCTATCCTCAAGCATTACCAACTTAAGAATTCCCTGTTACTGGAAGACCTTGAGCTCCTTCTAGCCTCCTTGCCTTGCTAGTTGCTGTTGTCTCCCCCTGGAACATGATCTCTCTCCTCTCTGCCTAGCAAACCCCGACTCACCCTTTGAGTCCAGTTGTGAGGGTTTCAGATATTAATGATGTTAACATCATTAATGTTAACATCATTAATATCTGAAATTCTGAAATGATTCAAAGCGGGCATGGACATTGCAAATGCTCAACAAATGTTTAGTGTCTTTATTACCATTTGTCACCTGTAAACCCCAAGTTACAAGCTCTTCAAGGGTAGGGGCAGTGCCTCCTTTATCTCTAGGTCTCCCAGTCAGTCAGTTAGGTCAGTACCTGCACTGAGTTGGTACTCAGTAAGTGCTTGCTTAATTACTCCCCTCCCAGAACTTCTGGGTTCTTTCCCTGCCCAAGGGAGGGTTTGTTACTGCATTGATGACCATAGATGGGCAGGGTTGCAGGCTTCCTGAAAGTAAGGAGCTTTCAGTCAGTGGCACAAAGTCATTGCTCAATAAATATTTGTCAGGTAAGAAAAGAAGTGAAGAGAAACATTTCAGACTACTCTTTCTTTTTGTTCTGGAAACATTATGGGACATAGGGATTTTGGTGAACCTTGTGTGGCCTTGGAGTTGTGAGGCTGTGATGACCCTTGGGGTTAATTGTAAATCCCTCTTTTCCTTTCCTTCCTGATTCTATGCTCTTCTTTCTCCTTCCCTTCACCAGCCTTCTCCCTTTCCTGTCCCTGTCTCCCATCCCTCATTTCCTGTTGTTATTCCATTGAGTGAAGAAAAACCAATACGACTGTAGCTTCCTGCTGGTGTGAGGACCCAGTGTAGTAACCCTCTCTTTCACATCCTAGGAACAGGGAGCTGAAAACACTGCTGTCCATCG